GTTTTGAGTGTCTTCCATCCTGAGGGACTCGTCTTCCGAATCTGACAATATTCTGGTGTTATTCATGTTTAAACATATGATATTTGGGTGTTATCTGACAGTGTTCCACTGATATTCATAAGGTTTTCAGTGGCTACACTCCAAGAAATAGTTAGCTTCTCCATCTTCCTCAACTGTCTTTGTCTGGAAGCTCAGCTGAAACCTGACCCTGCTGGTATTTCAATACCGGTGGTGGCATAGCTTCCAGAATCACAGCAACAAACTACCACCAGGTGACAAACTGACAGAGAAGTGATGGAAAACTGTATTTACATTATGGTTTTTAACCGTAATGGGAAATTTCTATTCATGAAACAAGAGGTGTAAGGTAACAGAGAAATTTTTAAGCAGTTGTTATATTAGAGGGCATTCAGAAATTAAGTTTCATTGACAAAATAATGTTAGTCATTCAATTAACATAAGGTAATAAACTCAAAAGTCAGAGAGCAAAATAACAGATCAGGATTTGAAGTCACTCCCATCCCAAGCTTATCTGCTCTCTCCAGCACTAGCCAGGGGCTAAGCTAAATTAAAGCAGCTCCTTTTGACACCAAACATCTGAATATGGGGCTCTGACAGGGAGGGGATGAGCTGTCAGTAGCTAATTAGTGAAGCTTCTTCTGTAACTGACTCAGTAAGAGAGTCCAAAGATGGTGTCCAGCAGCCTGCTCTGGGAACTTCCTGGATCCCCTGAATCATTTGCCTGCAACCAGAAGACTCTGGTGCTGTGTAGAAAAGACACCACTCCAACCTCAGCATGGGAGGAGATGGCAGTGGTCGTCAGCAAGCTGCCAAATAGGCTCCTCCTTCACCTCACCAAAGAAGGATTGTTGCTGTTAGTTGATTGGGGCTGCCCCATGAGTTACAGAGTAGAATTTTGCCAGTGGATTTTCTTGACTATATTCTTAACAGAAGCCAATTACCTGACCAATCTTCCATGGCACTATTAGGTGAATTCAAACCACCAACCTTGAGATTAGCAGTTGAGCACAATCTGTTTGTACTACCTAAGAACCTATGGGAGAAGATGAGGCTTTTAACTCCTGTAAATAAGGATTTACTGCCTCAGAAACCCTATACAGAGCCTCTATGAATCGGAATCGACTCAATGACACATCACCACAACCAGGGACCTTAAACCAAAAAGGGTCACAGACAGATACCCCAACACTCCACCCAACCCACCCACCCTAGAGAAAACCAAGGAACTAGAAGAGATGACTTTAGGCTGCTGAGTCTCCTTTATCACTAAATTCCAGAAGCAAAAGGGATCTTAAGAGATCACCTAGTTACCGTGCCTAAGAAGACCAACTTACAAGTTTGACTGTGCCAATTCTGGACTTGGTGCCAGAAGATGGCCTAGCCAGGCTGTGTTCTTGATCCTCTGGATCCCACACTTAGCAGGAAACAGTGATCTAACTATTGTTTTGTGACTGTCCTTATTTAAATACTTTTAACAGTTCTGGAGCCTGGGCATGAAGAAGCAAGCTGGGCAGAAAGCCCCCTCCAATCCAAGGGATCTGATCAATTCCACTTCCAGGAATAACAAAAGAATGTTAAGAGCCCACACAGAACCACTGAGGTGCAAACGTGGTGGCTTGGGAAGGGAGACTTACATTCCCTTGTGTCCTATGCCACCTGCCTAGTCTCTACTGCTCCAGGGCTTCCAATAGTTTTGAACTGGTTCAGTCATGGATGACCAAGCAAAACTGGGGCAGATTAGAATTTGAAAAATGTGGGTGCCTGGAACAATAGCTAGAATAGAAAAAATTAGGAGTTGAAGACCTGGAATAGTGAGCCCTTTCAGGATCCTGATGTCCTAATGAGGGAGACTGGACTATTGCCAGGACCATGAAGGGCATTCAAAGCAACATGGTTGGTAGCCATCTTTGAACAGGACACCTCTGTTTCTGACAAGAGATCTAGTTGCTATGCACACTTGCCTTGTTTTTTAAGAGGGAGATTACATTTCTAGCAGAACATTGACCCATAGTTTTCCCTATTCCAGTTATTGTTCCAGACAAAACATTTTTCAAATTCTGGGCTGTCCAATTCTGTGTGATAGTGGAAAGTCTCATTCATTACATCCATTTGCCCTCTGTGGGCCAAGCTCAGACCACTCAGGCAAATGAGAACATTCCCAGAGGGAGCTTGATTCTACCCTTGGTACTCCCTGATGAATTCTACTTGCTGGTAACCTAAATGCCTCCCATTCTTACCTACTTGGATGCGGAATTGAGCTGATTAGGTTGAGAGGGTGTAGCTCACAGCAAAGTCATCTGACCTAGCTAGCCTTTTTCCCCACTTGCCCCCTAGAGCCAAGGAGACATTTGCTAGGGCTGTTTGGAGCTCAATTCACCCTTTTGGATGCCACTCCAGCCCTAGCACTGACCTAAGGATTAGAGAGGAAAAGAGTCCCTCTTACACCTGTCTCCACTCTCCCCCAACTGGAGCTTCTGGCTAATAGACCAGAGACGGCATCATCAGCCATACCCAAGGAGAGACCCTGGTCAGAAGGCAAGGAGAACTACAGACACCTTTTTGGTAGCTGCAACCCTGTTTCATTCATAAAGGAAATTCTTACTCAGGTGCTTTCCAGGGTGCCCAGCCCAGCTGGATACAGGCAGCCACCACATAGAGATAACTGAGTCTCATAATAATGTAAGACATCAAAATCTGCAACCCAGAGCTCCTAAACTCCAGTGTACACTATGAGGCTGGTCCTAAGGTTAAAGGGGGCACTAAAACTCCTGGAAAGGGAAGAGTTAAGAGCTCTTCTCCCAAGAGAAGGGTACGTATCCTCTTCAAATAGCTAAAGACTATTTTGCTTGGTACAGGTTTTCTCAATAAATCCAAGGTCCGTGGTGATTTACCAAGAGCCTGGTTATTGGCAACAGCAATCTCACTTACCCAGAGCAGCGCTAGGAACAAGCTGTAATTTAGAGCTAGATTTATATTGTTTGTTCTCCAGCAACAAACTCAGCAAATCATAAATTCCTACTGAGATGAATAGCAGAAACTGACAATATTTATGAACTTGAGAGGCAGAGAAGAGCCTGGCCAGTCCTTTGATTTGTAACTAAAACGTCTCCTGTAGGCCCCAGCCAAGGACACAGCTGCTGTCTAAGCCCCAAAGTTGGGAGTCCAGGCCAGGCTAGGGAACGGTGATAGGGAGGACCCAATGGCCATGCCAGGAGCTGCCAGTTCCACCATTCCATCATGAAGATGCTCAACAAAGACAGCTTCTGTGCTTATTTGGGACACATAGTAGCAAGCAAACAAGGGCAATCCTCAAAGCCGTGGCTTTCTGACATCAGTGCAAAACTTGCCTGTGAAAACTCCCAATTCCATGGATCTGAAGATATGTACATCTACTCATACCCTACTTTCTCAACATAGGTCCCCTTTCTCCTACCCCCACAACATTTTGAACTTGTGTTCAGTCTATGTACAGGTTATACAAAAAAACACCTTCTAAGAATCCATGAAGTATATGGGCTGCACCACAAATTTCACCTCTTGTTCAAGAATCAAGCAGTGATAAATGCCCGAAGTGGCTGGCTTACAAGGTTTCAAGAGGAAGTTTAATTCCAGAGTGTGTCGGGGGAAAGTAGAATCCCATTGAATAGTTTTCATCTTGTCTAGATGGGTCTGGTGAAAGGAGATGGGGACAGGATTCTTTTGATTCAACAGTGAGTGTTATCATGACTATTTGCAACTATCACCACTGTAAAGGTACAAGGTTTGTAAAATAAAGAGGGGAGTAGCTAATCCTACATTCCAGGAACAGAGGATCCTAGGACTATCAAGGGAAAAGAGCATGAGCAGAATGTGGGACCCTTATCAGAAAAGTAGTGATGCCAGAGATGGAGGCAGAGATAAGGACATGGAGAGATAGAGCAACTGAGGACTCCAGACTCGTGGAAAGAGAAAGGCTGTGTGCTGACGGCTCAGAGGCAGGCTTGCAGAATGTGCCCTTTGGTTGTTTAAATGGTTATATATTCCTGAGTGTTTTTGTGTGCGTCAAAAAAATAAAAAAAACCAGAGGGAATAGAAGCAAATACTGTTAAATAATGATGCAGGGAGGAGATTGTAATAATTGCAATGAAACAAAATATGATAGGATGAGTGCAAAACTGATGTTCTCCCATGTAAACTATCACTCAATTTACAATAAAAGCTTTTTTTAAAAAAAGACATCAAACAATAATATTGCAAAGTGCAGGCGGGTCTGAGATGCTCTCGCGTTTCCTGATGTCTTTAATAGATCCTTCTTTTTGTTTTCTTCTCTCCTTCTCCACCCCCATTCCCCACCCCAATCCCAAGCTCTGGTCTCAAATGATCTTCCTAAAAGGCAACTCTGACCCATTTCATGCTCAAAAAGCCAATGGGATCCCAGCCTGATTCCAGTGTCAGAAAATCAAGGTAGCCTGTCATCTGGACCCACCCATCTGCCAACTTTATCACCTGCTCCAGTGGGTTTGCTCTACTGTCTTGAAGGCATCCCTCCTGGTCCCACACAAGTGACATATGCTGCTACCATCTCTACAATGGAAGGAAATGCTGGCAAACCTTCCCTAGTCCTATGTGACACTCCTGACCTGTTCTTCCTTCAATGCCTGTTGAAACCTCCCAATACTCCGGGTTCACCCATTGTGGGCTGTATGGCCCTGGGTGAGTCATCTGTACCAGAAGGCTAGATGAGATAATCCCCAGATCTCCTCCACTTCTAACCACCTAAGAAGCATGGATAGTGTGACAGGGAGAAACCTGCCAACAAAGAGCCCCAGAGACCCCAAGCTGCCCACTCCTGCTTTATGTAGCTTTAGGGTAAACATCTGCCCTGAAAACCAATCCGTGCCTTTAACCATTCTGCTAACTCCCAAGCATGCAGGATGGGTGTGGTGAACAGGGAGCTGGCTGCCCACCACAGCCAACTAGGGGCCGAGCAGGAAGCTCACCCAGGTTCTCAATCATTGCATCCAGTGCGGTCCCAGCAGCGGTGGAAATCCCTGAGTTCTTAGAGTTGAGGTTGTCTGCAATGGCAATGATGACAGAGAGCAGCATGGGATGTAAGCTCTCTTTGAGGAGAGGGATCATCTTGGCAAAAGACTCCAACGCCCACTGGTTCACTTTCTTGTTGGAATCCTGAAGCCTTGGAGTGAAAGCATCAAAGACCTATTGATGGAACAGAAACCAAGAATCCATGGGAACCCTGGCTGGGCAGGAGTCCCACAGAACCAGGTACCTTGGTGCTCACCAGCCCAACCAATTGCTCCAGCATCCCTACCAGGAGTCACCCAACCTACACTGGAAGAATGAGAAGCTTACATCTTCAAAGGGTGTGGGGGTAGGGGGTGGGGGGATGAGAGAGGAAACTAACATGTACTGATCATCCACTGTGGCAAAGTATCTTGTTAGGTACTCTGTACTCTCTCTTTCATTGAATGATCTTAACTAGTGAGACATGTGCTATCATATCCACTTTACAAATAAACACATACATACTGAGGCTCAAGGACGTTAAATGACTTGCCCAGATCACATAGTAAGAAGCTTGGGTGAAAACATAGGTCTGCTGTCTCCAAGCCTGTGACTTGCCCCAGGAAGAAGCAAGCATAGATCTTGTGAGAGGCTAGTACTTACTCCTAATCAAGCCATAACTCAGTCATCTGTCCAACCACATGATCTACCCCCAAAACATCCTGCACTTAAACAGCCCAGAAGTATGCCCAAGGTCTCAGCCAGAGCCCCCGGTACCTTTAACTACCATTCTCACCATAAATCTGTTAGAAGAAAGAGACACACCAAGGTCATCTTTAAGCAGTTCCAAGGTGCCTGGCAGGAGGTAGTACCCTCACCCCCTTGGTCACTCTCAGGTAGTCGTATGCTGTTACAAATGCCCATTGGACAAAAAGTGCTTATCAGATTTCCTGCCTACTGGCACAGTGTCCAACATTGTTCAGAATCTTCTGAATGGAAGTTGCAACTACAGGAGAGAGAAGTGGGAGGGCAGGGGATGGAGCCGTGCTCACCTGGACCAGGTTGGCGGTGATGAGCTCTGGCTTGGTCTTACAGTACTCAAGGAGCTGCCCCACACCTTCCATCCGAGACTGGTAGTCCTTGGCCTCCAGCAGACGCATCAGCTCGCGCAGCTGCTCCACCATCTCCATGCCACCCCGAACCGAAGAGCGCAGCCCCACCGGCCTCGGGCCGTTTAAACCTAACCTATGGGAAAAGATCATCTGAACAGTCTCAAGGGAGGGCTGCTCCTCCTCCCAATGACACATGGGGCAGAGATAAGAATGTCACCTCCAGTTTAGTCCACCCCCCAATTTCTCCTCCACCTTCTGCTTGGGGAACATTGGCCTTGGGAACTCTGGACATCTCTTTTATTCAGCGGTAACAACATGGTTGCCCAGAGTCCCACTCCTTGTCTGAGGACAGCGCTCTCTCTTCTTACTCTTTTGTTCTCTCTGTTCAGATATGTACAGAGAATAAGAGGAATAAAGCTTGGAGTGAGGAGGAGTAGGAACTCAAGAAAGTGTGACTGGTCCACATCTAATCTTAAGAGCACAGAGAGATCCTGGAGATCATCACACCAAACTTCTGCCCAGACCCTAAACCTGCTTTTGTAGGCTCTGCTCACAGTCCTCCAGCACTGGGGAAATACTAGGAATCCTGTCCTGTTGAGTTGGAATCACATGTCCATCACCTCCCCTTGCCCATTTTAGGCAGCAGAAGTACAGCTTCATACAGAACCCCTACCCACCCACCCCCCTCGCCCCCAGATCCAAGCTTAGGTGTTTGAGCTCAAGGGCTTGCACACACAGCCCAATACTATTCATTCTGTCACTCATTCCTATGTTCCACACTCTACCTACTGAGGCCAGGAGCTGTGCTGGGTACTCAGAACAATGAGATGAGAAGCATGGTCTTTGCCCTTTAAGAGTCACAGACCCCTGGAAGACAGATAAGGCAATGAGCTGACAGGGGAAGAATGGAGGACACGCTGCCCACTTGAGGACATGGAGACACAGATGTCAGAAAAGGTTTTTAGGGCAGGTGACAGGTGAACTCAGTCTTGTAAACTATGTAGCCATGTTCCAGGTGGAGTTGGTACCAGGCAAAGGAAGGCCATTAGCAAAAGCACAGTAGGAAGAGAGAATAAGAGGGGCAGAAGACAAAAGCTGCCCTGAGAGTGGGGGAGCTACTCTTGCAGAAGTTGGCAGGGGGCATCCCTGTGTGCTCTGTGGGACACTGCAAATGAGTTTTAAGCACAGGAGTGACCATCATATTCCTGACTGGTTTCTAACAGCACCCACCCTGTAGACCCTCAGACCAACCCATTTCTTCTCATCTACCTTTGTCCCCGGTGTGGCACTGGACTGCTAACCACAGCACAGGACTGCTAACCACAAGACTGTCAGTTCAAACCCACCAGCCACTCCTCGGAAACCCTATACAGGGTCCCTAAGAGTCGAAACTGACTCTTAACAACAGCTCAGCCTTGAAATTTGTCCTGCCTCACCACTCTCTGATGGTTACAGGACCTGAAGATTTAAGTGAATGGAGAAGTGCTGCGCTCACAGAGAGCCCAACCAATAATGTATCCCATCAGTACTGGTGGAATTGCACCCACTCAGCCAATACTACAATAACCAACTTCTCCTGGAAGATGCCCCTGAGCACAGGATGTGGTCTCATCAAAATTCAGGGTGGAGGATCACATCCTATAAATGTATCCATCAGTGCTGCTGGCCGAACTAGGCAACCCAGATCTACATATCCTCCTGCACTATAGGGAATTAATGAATATCTCTTCTAGCCATAGTCTGTAAACTCCCACCAGACTTTTTCCCGATGTGTTTGGGGAAGAAAAGGTGGGGGAAGATGCTGGTGGATGATATGATTCAATCGTGAGTGATTGTTAACAAAGCTAATTGTGATTAGTGGATTCTGCCATCCTGTTGGACATAAAAATAGAAACAGAAGGGGGAATCTCACTACCATCTAGAAGAAAGAGCTAGAAGTGGAGCGTGTCTTATGGGTGTGGAGATCCCTGTGCCTGGAATCTCAAACTAGGGACAGAAAGCTGTGACACCAGAGGAGTGGCAGCAATAGCATTAAGAGCCAGAACACAAGGCACCATGGTGGACTCCCCAGGCACAGAACAAGTAAGGCTGAGCAACTCTGGGGAGGAGATCTGCTTGCCGAGTAGAGTGCCTGCAGGTACTTAATTGGGGAAGCTAGGTTTACTGACCCACAGAGCTGAGTGCCATCAGGCTGAAGCTTATGGTGGAATAGTATGCCCTGTGGGTATTTATCGGCAGTCCTAAAACAGCTTTGTAACACTGCCAGAGTAGGGCAGAGGCCAGACCAAAGGGCCAAGGTCCAGAGAGAGGCCTGTCTGTGGACACAGCAGAGGAGAGGCTGTTCAGACTTGAGGAACTGTGACCTGAGTGTTTTCTGATTCTGTATTGTAACCTGGTAATGTCTCTAATCAATCTCACAGTTCTGGTATGGTGTCTTAGTTCTATGTGGCCTTGCAATGAATGAGATATTGAAGCCAGTTTAGAAGAAGAGTGTGCTGGGGGAGGGATAGTTGGTGTCATTTTTCACACCTCCCCAGAGCCACTCTTGGTCTGGGGCAAGAGGGCCACCTCTGTTATCAGTCTTGGATCTGGAGTCCCAGAGAGACAAGAGTAGTCATACCCCTCCTCAGGCAGCCCGTTCTCGTACACCACCAGACTCCTTGACACTTTGCAGCCTTTGGCAGATGGAAGTTCATCATTATCTTCTATTCCCTTGAAAAATACACACAGAACATAAGCCAAGAGGAGAGTTTTCTGGGGACTGTCAGACTCTGGGACAAGCCCTTCTCCCTGGGAGCACTTCAGGGGTCACATTTGAGCCTTCCAGAGCCCTGAAGTTTGTCAAGGCAGGTACCAAGGTTCCCATTTAACAGATGAAGACATGGAGACCCAGGAAGGCTCACAGAACACAGGTAGTGGGAACCAGGGGAAAGTTTTGATAAGCACTGGGGAAAGGAATCCCATTTTCCCAGTTGTGAGCAGTGGATGAAATTAAAACATTCTCAAGATCTGAAAGTTCAGTCTATTCATGTATTCACAGCCCACTCCCTAGGTCAGCATAACAACTGCCCAACTCTGCTTTGATCTCCATCCCCCCAAAGCCTGAAGCCTACTGCACATCACTCACCCGCTGCTTAATAGCTGCCATGACCTTCCGCAAATCATGAGATGGTAGGGACTGCTTCAGAAATGCATCAAACTTCGCATTGGACATCAAGATATTCACCATCTTACGACCATAAAATCTGCCACAGGAGAAGGGGCAAGATGGAGAAACAGCCACAGAAATGCATAGACATTTGCCTTAGAGCTTTATATAATTTTTCTAATTATACTAGCCAACTTTTTCATACTTTTCCTAATTATGAAAGTCATGTCATTTAAAAAAAAAAAAAATCATTCAAGAATAAAAAGAAACCACGATCCCATAACCAAGACAAAACTATTATATTATTACAGATTTTCTCTTAGTCATTTTTCTATACATATACATGTTTAGTTGATGTCAGCATATATATATAAAACTTGCATTCTGGGTTTGTTTTTTTCACTTCATCACTAATCATCCTCCCATGTCATTTAAAATGCTCTATAAACATCCTTTTAAGAGCTACATAATAGTTCTACTGGTTGGTTACTCCAACATGTACTGAACTTGTTCCTATTATGGGACACTTAGAAGTCTCAGGGCACAGTGAGACAGCATAGGAGGGAGTGGTCAACTCCACCTGCTGAACAGTGGTGGTCAGGAGACAGGAATCAAGGAGGGCTTCAGAGAGAAGGTGACCTCAGAGTTGAGACTTGAAAGATGAAAAGGAGTGGTACAGGATTAACAAGTAAATCGGAGGAAGAGAGCCACTCTAGGATCCATAGCATCGTCACTGGTAGGCCAGACACTAGACACAGGAAGACATTGGCTAGAGAACAGTTGGTCCCAATTCAGGGAGAACTGAAGAACATGGGCTTTAACCTGCAGGCAATAGGAAGCCAAGAAATGATGAGATTTGCATTTTAGTAAAAATGAAAAGTCCCTGGTAGTTGTGTGGAGGGTGTGGTGGGAAAAAGCTGGGGCCCAGGGGACCTGTTAGGAAGCTATCATAATAGTCCAGGAAAGAGATGAGATGATGGTGATCGGAAATAAGGTAGTCGGAGTAGCGGTGGTCGAATATAAGTGCTGTTAAGAAGGCTGAAATGGTAGGACTTGGTTACAGATTGGGGGTAGATCATAAAGCAACTGTATTTCACTCAACCTAAGACAAGGATTGCCCATGTGTGAAGCAAACGGTAGCATCACTCGTGCGTGTTTTCCTTTCTTTAGTATTTGCTTGTTGCTTTGCAAAAAAAATGTTGAATTCTTGTCATTCCTTCAGCAATGAATGTTTGCTCCATTAATACTTAATTTATGACCCATTGCTCAATTTCCATACCCTTTCTTATACACAGTTTTCATTTCCATGCCTAATAAGAGTGTCATATTTCTAAGACATTTTAAGCAGTAATTAGACTCAACTATTCTCTACTGAGCATCCACACTGAGTTTTTTTTAATGTAAATCAAAAGTCTAACAAGCAAAGAAAGAAAGGTTCATAGTGCATAACTTATATACTATGGACAAAAATGGAGAATGTGTAGGTAGTTAAACCCAGCTCCTAATTGCTGCTTGGTCAACAGCAACTGTGAATGTCTCTAATTTTAAGATATATCCCAATTTCAAAGATCTTACATGGGGGAGGGTGTGTCTTAGAATCAATGAAGTACGTGATTCCTCACCTTGTGCCTTGGGTGACTCAGTAAATAATGAATGAATGCTTGCAACAATAGAGTCCTTGAGTGGTACAAACAGCAAATGCACTTGACTAATAACCAAAAGGTTGGAGGTTCAACTCCACCCGGACGGGCGTCAGAAAAAGAATGAGAATCTACTTCCAAAAAAGCTAGCCATTGAAAATCCAATGGAGCACAGTTCTACTCTGACACACACGGAGTTACCCTGAGTCAGAGATGACCTGATGGCAACTTGGTTTGTTAACCCTAGAGACAGCACAGCCTGAGAAGCAGGACTGGAATGAAAACATTTCCTTTAGAGACACCCCAGTGAAGATGACGGTAGGACATCTGGAGATGATCCCTATGAAAACATTAGAGATACGGGACTGGAGGGCCGAAGGGTCTGTGTGGGACAAAGAGGCTGGGAAGAACAGAGTTTTCTGGTTACTGGAGCCATGAGAAAAGATGAGACCCCTCAGAGAAAGCCAGAAGAGAAGGTCAAGGACTGGGCTAAAGACATATCTTCGGCCACCCACATGGAAAGAACACGCAGAGTGGAGAAATTCACCACAGAGGGTTAAAATGTTCCAGAAAGGAAAATGCAGTCCACATCATGCAATGGAAGAGAGAGGTCAGAATTGAGAAGAATATTAGATCCAGACATACAATTCTTTATTTCTATCCTCCTACAGCAATTGTTGTAGAAATATCATTGAAGATGTGAGATGGATCTTGGCTAAATATGTTTACTTGTACTTTATTAACTATGTAAAGCATTCAACTGGGTGAATCATAACAAACTATGGATAACGTCACAAAGAAGAGGGATTCCAGAAGACTTGATTGTGCCCACAGGGAACCTATACATGTGCCAGGAGGCAGTGCTTACAACAGAACAAGGGGACACTGACTGGTTTAAAATCAAGGTGTGTGCCAGCATTGTATCTGTCACCATACTTATTCAATCTGTATAAAGAGCAAATCATCTGAGAAGCTGGATTATATGAAAAAGAATATGGCACCAGGATTAAAGGAAAACTCATTAACAACCTGTAATATGCCTTGCTTGCTGAAAGTGAAGAGGACTTGAAACACTTACTGATGAAAATCAATAGCCTAGACCTCTACAATGTAAAGAAGGAAAAAGAAAAAATCCTCACAATTGAACCAATAAATAACAGCATGCTAGAGAAAAGACTGAAGTTGTCAAAGATTTCATTTTGCTTGGATCCACAATCAATATTCATGGAGGCAGCAGACAAGAAATCAAAAGATGTATTGCAGTTGGCAGATCTGCTGCACAAGACCTCTTTTAAATTGTTCAAGAGCAAAGGCGTCATTTGAGGGTTTAGGTGAGCCTGATCATGATATTTTCAATCACCTCATATGTATATGAACACTAGACAAGAAATAAGGAGGGCTATCAACAAGAAGCTCTGGTAACATAGTGGTTACAAATCGGGATGCTAACCTCAAGCTTGGCAGTTCGAAACTACCAGATGTCCCACGGGAAAAAGATGAGACTTTCTGGTCCCATAAAGATTTGCAACCTCAGAAACACGGTGCAGGGTCGCTATGAGTCAGAACCGACTCCACGGTACTTAACAACAACAACAACATAGACTATCAACACTAATGGTAGCAGCAGTCAAGAAATCAAATGACATGTTGCATTAGGCAAATCTGCTGCACAAAACATTTTTAAAGTGTTGAAGAGCAAAGATGTCAGCTTGAGGACTAAGGTGCGCCTGATCCAACCCATGGTATTTTCAATAACCTCATATGCATGTGAAAGCTGGACAGTGAATAAGGAAGACGGTAGAAGAATTGATGCTTTTGAGTAATGGTGTTGGAGGAGAATATTAAAAGTGCCATGGGCTGTCAAAAGAACCAATAGATCTGTGTTGGAATAAGTGCAGCCAGAGTGTTCCTTGGAGGTAAGGATGGCCAAACTTAATCTCTCATACTTCAGACATATTGTCATGAGAGACCAGTCTCTGGAGAAGGATGTCATGTTTGGTAAGGTGGAAGATCAGAGAAAACAGAGGAAGACCCCCAGCGAGATGGATTGGCAAAGTGGCAGCATTAATGGACTCAAGCGTGGCAACAATTGTGAGATTTTCCCAGGACTGGGCAGTGTTTCATTCTGTTGTGCATAGAGTCACTATGAGTCAGTTCTGACTCCATGGCACCTAACAAGAACAACAATAATAGAAAAATCAATGCATTTGAATTACAATGTTGGCAAAGAATATTGAAAGAACCATGGACTGCCAGAAGAACAAACAAATATACATTGGAAAAAGTACAGCCAGAATGGCAAGATTTTGTCTCTTGTTCTTTGGACATGTTATCAGGAAGGGATTAGTCCCTGAAGAAGGACATCATGCTTGGTAAAGTGAAGGATTGGCAGAAAAGAAGAAGACTCCCAACAAGATGGATTGACAGTAGCAGCAACAACGGACTCAAACAAGATCATTGTGAGGGGAGCAGGACTGGGGAGTGTTCCGTTCTGTTATGCATAGGCTTGCTATGAGTTGGACCTGACTTGACAGCACCTAACAACCTTGAGTATGTTGTTGTTGTTGTTGTTGTGAAGTTCCGTCAAGTAGGCTCTGACTCATAATGACCCTATCTAGGGTGTCAGAATAGCAGCTGGTGAGTTTGAACTGCTGGCCTTTCAGTTCTATCCAACTTTGCAGTCCAGTACATTAACTTGCAATGCCACATCAGGAGAGGCCCCCTCACCCTGCTATTACCTGGTGTCCTGGTTGGAGTCCTGGGCTAGCCTCACCAGGTTGTGCACCAGCATGTCTGTACTGTCCCGAGTACCTGAGAGTAGCTTCTCAGCGCCGATCTGCTCCAGGACAGTCGAGAGGTGCTCAGCAGTACACTTCCTGACTAAAGGGTTACGGTGGCTGAAGGGAAACACATCAAGCCAAGGGGTCACCAGTCTGCCATACAGATTCAACTGTAGATCCATGATTTGTGCCAGCTTTTTCTGTTGTTGTTAAGTGCCATCGAGTCAATTCTGACTTATAGCAACCCTGTATAGGGTTTCTAAGGAGCAGCTGGTGAGGAGTTGGTTTGAAACACCAACTTTGTGGTTCAAACTGACCTTGTGGTCCAGTGCTTACCTTACAACAACACACCAGGCCCCAAAATCTTTGCCACATGAGCTAAAGGAATCTTTAAGGAATGAACAATCACCTCCTGAGCTTCAGGAGAAAGAACAACCACAGTTAGCCACAGGCTTACTGTTCTTGATGCTTTCTGGAGCTCATATATTCCCGTGTCTAAATGTGCCTTCCCATTTTTCCTCCATCTAGAAAAGTCCTATGCAGTCAACATCTCCTTCCCTTCATTCCTCAGCAGAATTAGATACTCCCTCTTGTGCAGTGCTGGCTGTCCACTGCCAAGTCCAGTTGCACACCATTGTTCCCTGGTCAGGGACCAGGGGCCAGACCTCCTCTCACATGAATGAATCCCCAGTTGGTGCTTGGTACAGTCCTGATGCTTGTTATTGTAAACTGCCATTGAGTCAGTTTCTGACTCATGGCACCCCTATGTATGATGGGATTGGCCCACTATGAACCACAGAGTTTTCATTGGCTGATTTTTCAGAAGTAGATCAATAAGACTTTCTTCCTAGTCCATTTAGTGTGGAAGCTCTGGTGAAACAGTTCTGTATCACAACACTGACAAATGGGTGGTGGCCGAGCATGAGGTACACTGGCTCGGAATTGCACCTTGGTCTCCTGCGTGGAGGGTGAGTCCTACTACTGAACCACCACTGCCCTTGCCCAACACTTGGTGGTATTGTTGTTGTCAAGTGCCATCCAGTCGGTTCTGGCCCACAGCGACCCTATGTAGAATTTCCAAAGAGTGGCTAATGAGCTTGAACCACCAACCTTCACCAACCTGCAGTTCAAACCGACTTTGCAGTCCAGTGCATTAACCCACAGCCCAACCCTTAGCATCAGCATAATGCACGGCTGTTAAACTGCCTTGGGACAGGAAGGGAGGAGAGGGAATTACTGGGTGCCCTGGTAACCCTAACAGGTGGAACTAGACATCTTATTAGAGAAATCCATCAGAATGCCACCTCTTAATTTTTCATTATTTTTTCCAACAGTGGCCATTGAGCAGCACTGACCTCATGACCAAACCTTTCTCCCCTATGGAACAGCCTGTTGTTGTTAAGCGCCATCAAGTCGGTTCTGACTCATAGCAACCCTGTATAGGGTTTCCAAGGAGTTGCTGGTGAGTTTGAACCACTGACCTTATGGTTTAAGCTGAAATTATGGTCAAGTGCTTATCCTACAGTGCCACACCAGGACTCCAGGGGACACAAAATGACAAAGTGGGCTCCTGGATTCCTCTCCTCAGAGTGTGGTCTAATCACCAGTATTAGCATCTGAATCAAAATTTACATTTCAGTAACAAGATGGGTGTTTCATAGGTACAAAGCCCTGTTCTAGAATCCCCAGACAGCTGACTCTGGTTCTTGGGGACAATATCAGTAGCCTCTGTTTGAGTGAACATCCTCCATGGCAGGCACAGAGCTGAGCACTGTTTACCATGAGCTACTAATAATACCATTTTACAGCTGAGGCAACTGAGGCAAAGGAAGGAATCCAGGAAAAGGTGCAATGATTTTTCCCAAATTAATACCATCCGCAGTATATACTCAATAAATGCTAGGGATTTCTAAGCGCTCTTATGCGGATCAATTCATTTACTCTTTGCAATTCCATTGTTACTCCCAATTTGCACATGAGGAAATTGAGACACAGAGAAATTAAGGATCTCTGATGTGAACCTAGGCATTGTGGCCACACACTCCCCACTAAGCTGTGGTACCACAGCTTAGTGATACAACAAGCCCGGGGCTGGATCCCAGAAACCTCACTTGATGATTGACCTATTAGGGTTGAGAGTTGTTTCGCCCTGTGGGAGAAAGGGCTTGGGAAATGCTTTTCAGTTGGGTTTTTATTTAAGAGAAATGCAAATTTGGCTGCAAAAAGGCCCCAATAGTATCCAAGGAGCCTTCTCCAACCCCAGGAGTTGTGGCAGTGCCACCTGCCAGCTCAAGTAGTAGAATCCTATTAGAATGCCACGCTCTTCTCACTAGTGGCCCAGATGTCATCAGAAAGAAGCACTCTCTAGGAGATGGGCAGGTGCTCTCCAAGCCCTGCTGCAGAGCAGCAATGGGCTTCCCAACCTTGGAGCCAAACAACACAGCATCTTCCCCTTCCTGCCAGAACAAGGCTGCACTGAACTCACCTCACCACATCCTCCCTTCTCCTCCTGCCTCAGGAAAGGTGGGGAGAAAAGGCCCCCAGGAAGCAGGGGTCTCCCCCACCACTACTAAAGGTGTAAGGCATTACTTGCTGTGCAATCTGAAGTAAGGCCCCTTCTGGATTCTGATTCAGCATTTTTGCCTCTTCTCTTTCACTAATGCTTCTATACCCTGCCTCCTTTCTTCCTCTTCCCTTCCCAGCCTCCCCTCCCTTCCTCCCACCTTCACCATCATCTCCCTCCTGCCCCTCCCTCACAGGCTTCCTCTCCCATGATCACACAGGCCTCAAACAAGAGCAGTACATACTAGACACCGGCTGTGGTCAGGGCCACCAGGGAGCGGGCAGGGGTCACATGCTCTACCATGGCCCCCAGCGACCGGTTGGCTGCTCTCTGGATGAACTCGCTGGTGTTGCCCATCTTTTGGAGCAAGCAGCGGGCAATCTCCTCGGCCTCCTGGTCCATGTTCCTCTTCAAGGTCCGAAAGAGGTCTCCCAGGGTGCTGATGGCCAAGCGGGACACCTTGGAGCGGAGGTTGGTGACCTAGGAGAAAAAGGCGAGAGGGGCCCTCCAGACTGCTGGGCCCTGCCAAAGGCTCCCCAGAGGATACAGAGAATGAGGACTCACCACCCCTTCCAGCCACCTCCACCCTCACCAGGGCCTAGGGTTTGTTAAGCTGAACATGAAAATCCTGCAGCTCTTGGCACAACTGCATCATTAAAAAAAAATTTTAATGAACTATTACTACCATTTTTATTATTTCTCTCATTTTATTATCTGAAATTTGGACACTTGGCTGTCAAAGCATTTTTACAAATAATATCTCATTTGACCTTCACGACTACTGTTGTTATTAAGTACCATCAAATCAGTTCCGAGTCTTAGCAACCCTGTATAGGGTTTCTGAGAAGCAGCTGGTAGGTTTGAACCACCGACCTTTTGGTTAGCAGAGATCCATTTTTCAGAAGAAACTGAGACCCTAGGCTACATGCAGGAGGGAGCAGAGGAGAGACTAGCCCAGGCCTCTGTTTTCATAATGGCCCCCACTCAACAGCCTGTTCCCAAGGGTGGGGCACAGCCTCCACATGAGATAAAAATGTCTCACTTCTCCTCCAGCCCAGCCTAGGCCAAGCCCCAGTCCCATAGGGGAAAGGCCTTGAGAAATGCTACAGCTGCCCTGAGACTGGGGATCTGGTTCAGAACACGCCACACCTCTACAGGTATCTGAGTGTAGAGGACAACACAACTGTGAAAACTGGGCATACCAGATTCTGACTATAAATTAGGAGAACCCAGACCTCAGTTTTCCCATCTGAGAAATGGGTGGCAGAGATGCCTGCCTGCACTTCAGGGCCCCTCTATGGCTGCCACATAACCGTACCAGGAATGGGGCAGGGAAACACACAGGACACTACTGTATGGGAGGCCTCACCTCCCCAGTCACGGCCAAGGACACGTCGTGCAGCCTCCCAGCGAGGACCTCTGAGTGGCACGCTATCAGGCGCTGGATGCTCACCAGGCCCTTCTCCTTCACCTGCCTGAGAAACAAGCCAGACCGGGTCACAGGTGAGGAGGAGGCACCCTGTTCCCTCTGCAGAGCTGGGGAAATCCAAGTTTAAACTAACTGGTGTCGAGTCAATACTGACTTATAGTGACCCTTATAGGACAAAGTAGAACTGCTCCATAGGATTTCCAAAACTCCAAATCTTTTATGAGAGCAGTTTCATTTTTCTCCTGCAGAGTGGCTAATGGGTTTGAACCTCCACCTTGTGGTTAGTAGCCCAGCTATGTGACGCCCACTCCCATCAAACCATTCCAACTCATAGTGATCCTGTGGGACAGAGCAGAGCTGCTTGGTAGTGTCTCCAAGACTGCAAGGTCTTATGGGAGCAGACAGTCTCATCTTTCTCTTATAGAGCAGTTGGTGGGTTTGAACCAATGACCATATGATTAGTATCCCAATGCTTGAGTTACTGCACCACCAGACCACCTGGGGTGAGATTGCTGTTGTTAAGTGCAATCGAGTCACTTCCAATTCATAGCAAGCCTGTATAGGGTTTCTCAGCAGCAGTTGTTGGGTTTGAACTGACGACCTTGTGGTTTGCTGTCCGGTGCTGATTCCACAGCACCACAAAGCTAGATATCTTCAAAAGTTGGGACTGGATTAAATACTGAGGACTGAAGACCAAGCAGTTGTTGTTGTCAGGTGTCATCGAGTTGGCACCGATTCATAGCAACCCTATGCACAGCAGAACGAAACAATGTCAGATCCTGGGCCAACCTCACTACTGTTGCCACACTTGAGTCCATTGATTCTGCCACCTGGCTAATCCATTTTGTTGGGGGTCTTCCTCTTTTTCTCTGACCCTCCATCTTACCAAGCATGACATCCTTCTCCAGCGACTGTTCCCTCCTGACAATATGTCCAAAGTATGAGAGACGAAGTTTGACCATCTTGGCCTCCAAGGAGCACTCTGGCTGCACTTCTTCCAAAACAGATCTATTGGTTCTTTTGTCAGCCCATGGCACTTTTAGTATTCTCCTCCAACACCATAATTCAAAGGCATCAATTCTTCTATGATCTCCCTTATTCACTGTCCAGCTTTCACATCCATATGAGGTTACTGAAAATACCATGGGTTGGGTCAGGCGCACCTTAATCCTCAAGCTGACATCTCTGCTCTTCAACACTTTAAAAAGTTCCTGTGCAGCAGATTTGCCTAAAGCAATATGTCATCTGATCTATTGACTGCTGCTTCCATGAGTGTCGATAGTTGATCCAAGAAGAATGAAGTCCTTGACAACTTCAATCTTTTCTCCACTAAACAGTGAGGACTGAAGACCAGGCAGAGCATCCCACAAAAGTTTGGGGCCCCATGTCAGCAACTTGTCACAACAAAGATTGTGTTTCAGCAGCACACTGAGGGAACATTCAGAGCAGTTTACATTTCACTTAGAGAAATAAAGGGCTGTGATCTTTCTTATGATCACTGGTCGGTGGCAGTGATAGTTATGTGGCATGGAGTCAGTTCGACTAATAGCAAACCTTTATAGAGTTTCCGAGGCTGTAAATCTTTACAGGAGCAGAATGGCTCACTACTACAAGTCAAATGCATACTTGCCCTACGTGGCTCAGCAGCTGGGCCACAGAGCAGTGCACAGGACTGCTTGGAAGGTCTCTGGCCAAACACAGGAAGCTAGAGATAGAATCCCCCCCATCACAGCCACCATGCACATGCACAGACTCCTTCCCAGGAAGCAGAGAGCAGGAACTATTCCGAAGCTCTGCTCCCAGCCATGGTGCATAGGGAACAGGAGAAGATATCTCCTTACCAGTCGCTGCTGCTGAGGCTCTGGAGGGCATCCATCAACCCAAGCTCTGGGTTTGAGAAAGGCCTCAGTTCTTTCAAGGCTCTAAGATCCATCTCTTCTTCCTCCTCTTCCCATTCAGGAGACCCCAAAGTAAGCACCGCAGGTAATGAGTTAGCTGCACTCAGGGAAAAAAAAAAAAAGAAACAGCAGGTTTCATCCAGGGGGACAAGCGTTGGGAGTTACTGCTGCCTTCACTGCCTGGCCTGCTGCACTTAAGCCCTCTAACAAGGGAGCATGTGAGGAAGGGAACGGAGGATGACTATTAGGCCAATCCTGGGAGCTAGGGAGACCACCAAGTATATACCTTACACTGACCTGTCCATTCCCACCTTGGCCAATATGATTATTTCATTATAAGCAAAAAGACTGCTTGTGACATGGTGCATGATGCCCTATGACAAAGTCTACTAGGTCAATCCCCCACATCCAATCAATCCTGCCACAGCTGTGCCTAGGATGAGCCCAGGAAACCTGTTGGTGAGGACCTCATGCTGGAGACATTCTAACCTCATCCACACTAGGGGCCCAAGCTAACAGCTGTACCTCCTTTCCCTTACATGATCCCTCCTTTGGTGAAGTTGACCACGAGCAAGGAAGTACTCTAAAGGTAGGTGGCTGGAGGAAGACAGGGAACTACAAAAGGCACTAGCAAGACACAGCATAGCAAACCAGCACTGTAAGTAGGGATATTAAAACTCAGATCATGTTTTCTAGGCTCCTCTTCCCTGGGGACAGATGCTAGAAGCATCATGTTCTAGAATAAGAACAGAAAGGGAGTTTAGAAATGTTCCATACATCCAATGCCCTTAATGACACAACCGAGGTGTCAGAGGCTCAGGAAGGCTTGGGGACCCCTCAGGAAGGCTGAGGCCCCTCAGTTACTCTATCAGCCAAGCCAGGACCAGAAGGTGCCCTTCTCTGAGCCTAGAGCTCTTTACTACCACATCTCATTTTCTGGCTAGTTCTCTTCAGAAGTTCACCTCCACTGGAATGTTTATCCAGAAATTCCTGGACAATCTAAGGTGAGAGGCCATCGTTTCTTTAAAGTCAAGACACAAAGGCCACATTCCTGGGTTTTCTTCTTAGCTCTGTCACTGATACATGAAAGTCTCTTAACCAGCACCTTCAGATTGCCCTCTGGTGTGTAGGAGGTGACATCCAGCCTCCATGTCCTTTCATGGATAAGACAGATATGAATTTGATGTCATCTATGAGGCTTTCAAAGAGACACAGATACCTCAGCCTCACCCTCTCCTCTGTGTGGACCAAATGGATGTCCTGGATCCTTCTGGAAACAGGGTTTTTTGTTTATGCTAATGAGGTATATATTATGTATGGGGTGGTGTCTAAATCTATCATTTCTGAGCTATTTAAAAAACAAACAGAAGAATGGACACAGACAGAGGGACACACATGGCAGGGGAAGGTGACATATGAGGACAGACACACATGGCAGATGCATCTACAAGAGCAGGAAGGTCAAGGAATATGCAGCTATTGGAAGCTGTTATAGATAAACAAGGACCTTTACCTAGAACCAGGCCCTGAACTGAGATTTCTAGCCTCCAGAACTATTCTTTAATGTTACCCACTGAGGGTATTTTTGTTACAGCAGGACTAAATAAGCAAGACACCTTTCAGTGGTGTTCAGTATCCACATACAAAAAGACACCAGCAGAGAGGACTCCAGTCTTCTGAGGGCTGGATTTGTGTTTACCTTTCCCCCATGCTTCCCCAGGCAGCTGGTCACTAACACTCATATTTAATACCTTTTGGCCCAGTAATTTCCAATCTGGGACTACATCCTTGATATGGAAAATGTTCTCTACACACAAAAAGCAGAAGAGCTTGAGTAGACCCAGTGGGGTTCACCTAAAGCAACCCCTTCTCCCAAGAGAATTGAGGATCTCACGGGATTTATTAAGAAAATCAGGACAACAAGCTAACCATCCTGAAATTCTGTCCTTTCCAGCCAGACCCTGAAGTAGAAGCAGGTGCAAATTATCAAGCAATTTTAAGGGGTTCTTTGTTCATTGTGAGGAGAGAGGAAGTGAAGGTGAAGATTCAAATTCAGTTTCTAGAAAGATTGTAAGGGGAGAATGTTGGTTGGTTTTCTACCTACTGCAACTCAAACTGCCTGAAGGTTTTATATCTTTCCAACGCACATGAAAACCAGTTGCCATCTAGTTGGTTCTAATTCCCATGTGTGTGTCAGAATAACACTGTGCTTCATCGGCTTTACACTGACTGACTTTTTCAGTAGATGTTCAGGTCTTTCTTCCAGAAAGCCTCCGAATGAATTCAAACCGTCAACGTTTCCATTAGCTGCCAAGTTGTTGTTGTTGTTAAGTGCCATCAGGTCTATTCTGACCCTGTCTAGGGTTTCCAAGGAGCAGCTGGTGAGTTTGAACCGCCGACCTTGCAGTTCAAACAGCTTTTTCAGTCGGGCGCATTAACCCACAGCATCACACCAGCTGCCAAGTGCTACAGTTTAAATCATGAGAGGCAACAATATACTTATGATGTGTTCAAGTTAAAGCAAACTAGTTTATCACTAATGTTGCAGTGCATAATGTGCTGGTGTCCTCATTCTCAAATGTTCAAATATTCAATTTCATTATTTACAATTCAAAACGCTGCTGGATTCATAAAGATACTGATCATGAAAGGCATTAATAATGAAAACTAAAACAAGAGAAAAAGACATTTCACTTCCTCTCTCTGTGAGAGATAATGACTTATGATGGAGTCATCAGAACAGATCCCCGCTGGAAAGCAGGAGCTACCTGTACAAGCAGGCTTCAAAAAGTTTCTGGAAAAGTGGAATACAAAAAGAATGAAAATTTTCCATGAACTTTTTGAGACCTCTTCATATATCAAGAGTCACTCTTCGAGGTTTTGGACCCTATGAGTCATGGTCACCTTAAGTGAGCTTAGGTGTCTGGGTCTCAGTTTTGCTATCTACAAAATGGGTGCATTGGCTAAGAGAGAGCAGTATTTCCTGTGTCATGCATTTATACTGTTGGCATGATTTTTTGCCATATTTTTTAATTACCTGTGCTTTATTTACACTGTACTTTTCTTCAAATTAACCCAATTTTCAAATCCTAAATAAAGTTATTTCTTTAAAGGAAATTTATGTCACTGTCATAATCAGTAAGGAGCTCTGGTAGCTTAGTGATTATGAGTCGGGCTATTAACCTCAAGGTCAGTAGTTTGAAACTACCAGCTGTTCTGTGAGAGAAAGATGAGGCTTTCTGCTCCCATGAAGATTTACAGCCTCGGAAACCCTGTACAGGGTCGCTATGAATTGGAACTGACTCCACGGCACATAACCACCACCTCCATAATTAGTAAATCCAGAATATTTGCTATAAATATTATAAATAATTTTTTAAATTGTTAAAATGTTATAAATCCAAGCTATAAAATTACAACCAGCTTCTGATGTCTCCGAGCTTGAAAGGGGCTTTCTTATTAAAAAGGTTAGAGTCCCATGTCATTTTGTTGTTGTTAGGTGCCATCGAGTTGGTACCAAGTCACAGCAACCCTATATACAACAGAACAAAACACTGCCCGGTCCTGCGCCAACCTCACAATCGTTGCTACGCTTGAGCCCATTAATGCTGCCACTTTGCCAATCCATCTCGCTAGGGTCTTCCTCTTTTTCTCTGACCCTCCACCTTACCAAGCATGATATCCTTCTCCAGAGACTGGTTCCTCCTGACAACATGTCTGAAGTATGAGAGACGAAGTTTGGCCATCCTGGCCTCCAAGGAGAATTCTTTCTGTACTTCTTCCAACACAGATCTGTTGGTTCTTTTTGCAGTCCATGACACTTTCAATATTCTCCTCCAACACCACAACTCAAAAGCATCAATTCTTCTACAGTCTTCCTTATTCACTGTCCAGCTTTCGCATGCATATATATGAGGTTATTGAAAATGTGCTAAAGACTAGCACCAACTTAAGATGTTCAATTTAATGGAATCAAAAGGATATAAAGAGAACCAAAAAGGAAGATGAATCAAAATTGTCTATCTATAGCACAAAAATGATGTTTTTCTATGCCATCATTGTGCACATCCCATACTTAAAGATACGCTGAGCTAGGCTGATGGTTTTCAAATGCCTTTTAGTAGCAAAATCTTTTCAAATATAATCTCACATGAATGTCCAGAATACAAAAAGTTCCTCTGGTAAAGTGGGGATGGGGCCTCACCTTTGGCCTATGGCACCTCCCCAGTGGAATCTTTGGCCTCCTCTGATCCCCATTTTTTAACAGCACTGTCAAGTCCTGATATTTTATGAGGCAGCAGGGAGAAACCAACCCCAAAATCCTCTCCTCCTAGAGCCTCCAGCTACTTCTTTGGATGCTGTTCCCCAGCATCCTTTGGTCCTGGTATACTTGAGACTTCACGTCATGTATCTGCCTAGCCATCGAACACAGCTGTGATGTCCTGGATCCCCAGCCCAACCTACAGACACTTGTGAGTCCCAGGCACCATTTATCTATCTTGTAAGGTGACCACCACCCTAGACCGCAACCTAGTCAAACATGGGCAAAAGACAGAAGAAGGGCAGCCAGGGTCACTTTGCTGTCTATGCAAAGGTCAGTTTGAACTGCAAGGTCAGCAGTTCAAGCTCACCAGACACTCTCAGAAGCCCTGTACAGGGTCATTATGAGTTGGAACCAACTTGATGGCACTTACCAACAACAAGGTAGACTAGTTAAGGCAACTATGATTCAAATTTACACACCAACCACTAAAGCCAGTGATGATGAAATTGAAGAGCTCTACCAATTTCTTCTGCTCAAAATTGATCAAACATGAAATCAAGATGTGTTGATAATTACTGGCAATTGGAATGTAAACGTGGGAAACAAAGGAAGAATCAGTAATTGAAAAATATGGCCTTAGTGATAGAAATGATGCTGGAGATCCCATGATAGAATTTTGACCAATGACTTCTTCAGTGTAAATACCTTTTTAACACACCATAAAAGATGACTATACACATGGATCCACCAGATGGAATACACAGAAATCAAATTGACTACATCTGTGGATAGAGACGGTGGAAGTGCTCCATATCATCAGCCAAAACCAGACCCAGAGCAGACTGTGAAACAGACCATTAATTGTTCATATGCAAGTTCAGGCTGAAGATGAAGAAAATTAAACTAAGTTTATGAGAGCCAAAATATGACCTTGAACATATTCCACCTGAATTTAGAGATCATCTGACGAACAGATTTGATGCATTAGACACTAAAGACTGAAGACCAGAAGAGTTGTGGGATGGCATCAGGAATATCATATTGGAAGAAAGCAAAAAGTCACTAAGAAGACAAGAAAGAAGACAAAGTCAAACATAACAAAATGTGCAAAGACCTGGAGTTAGAAAACCAAAAGGGAAGAACACGCTTAGCATTTCTCAAGCTGAGGGAACTGAAGAGAAAATTCAAGCCTTAACTTGAAATATTGAAGGATTCTAAGGGCAAAATATTGAATGATGCAGAAAGCATCAAAAGAAGATGGAAGGAATACACAGAGTCACTGTACCAAAAAGAAATGGCCGATGTTCAATCATTTCAAGAGGTAACGTATTTCCAGAGCCAATGATACCGAAGGAAGAAGTCCAAGGTGCACTGAAGGCATTGGCAAAGAACAAGGCACCAGGAACTGACAGAATACAAATTGAGACCTTTCAACAAACTGATGTGGCACTGGAGGCACTCACTCATGTATACCAAGAAATTTGGAAGACACTAACTAGAAGCAATCCATATTTGTGTCCATTCCAAAGAGAGGTGACCCAACACAATGCAGAAATCATCAGACAATATCACTAATATTGCATGCAAGTAAAATTTTGCTAAATATAATACAAAAGTCGCTGCAACCATACATTGACAGAGAATTTCCAGAGGTACAAGCTGAAATCAGAAGAGGACATAGAATGAGGGATATCACTGCTGATGTCACATGGATCTTGGCTGAAAGCAGACAGCCAGAAAGATGTTTACCTGTGCTTTATTGACTACACAAAGACTTTTGATTATGTAGATCATCACAAGTTATGGACAACATTGCAGAGAATGAGTATTCTAGAACACTTAATTGTGCTCATGAGGAACCTATACCTAGACCAAGATGCAGTTGTTCAAACAAAACAAGGGTTTCATTTAAATTTTTTTTTAATTTAAAGGTTTAAAATTAGGAAAGGTACACACAAAGGGTTGTTTTCTCTCACCATACTCATTCAATCTGTATGCTGAACAAATCATTCTAGAAGTTGGATTATATGAAGAAAAATATGGCATCAGGATTGGAGGAAGACTCATTAACAACCTGAGATGTGCAGATGATACAATTTTGCTTGTTGAAAGTGAAGAGGACTTTAAAAACTACTGGTGAAGATCAAAGACCACAGCTTTCAATATGGGTTGCAACTCAATATAAAGAAAACAAAAATCCTCACCACTGGACCAATAAACAACATCAAGATAAACAGAGAAAGGATTGAAGTTGTCAAGGACTTCATTCTTCTGGGATCAACCAACAACATTCATGGAAGCAGCAGTCAAGAAATCAAATCATGTATTGCATTGGGCAAATCTGCTGTATATGACCTCTTTAAAGTGTTGAAGAGCAAAGATGTCAGTTTGAGGACTAAGGTGTGCCTGACCCAAGCCATGCATGGTCTTTTCAATAGCCTCATATGCATGTGAAATTTGAAAAGCGAATAAGGAAGACAATTAAAGAACTGATGCATTTGTGTTATGGTTTTGGAAGAGAATATTGAAAGTATCATGGACTGCCAAAAGAACAAACCAATCTGTGTTGGAAAAAGTGCATCCAGAATGTTCCTTGTAAGCCAGGATGGCCAGACTTTGTCTCTAATACTTCCTTCAGACATATTATCAGGAGGGACCACTCCCTGGAGAAGGATATCATGTTTGGTAAAGTGGAGGATCAGAGAAAGAGGATGACCCTCAACGAGATGGATTGGCACAGTGGCGGCAGCAGCGGGCTCTGGTGTAGCAACAATTGTGAGGTTGGCATGGAACCAGACAGTGTTTTGTTCTGTTGTGATATGGTCACTGTGAGTTGGTACTGACTTGATGGCACCTAACAACAACATCAAGCATCCTGAGACACAACATATGAAGGGGACACCTGTCCCAGCCAGTCAGATCTGATCCCCACCTGAAGCATGACGGGCAAAGCTGGGCTCCTGCTTGCTGACTGGAATGCTGGGGAGTGAGGACCTGTTGGCTCGCTTCCTCAGGATGATTCCAATGTTGTTTCTCCGTGGACTGCTCAGACCAGTGGGCACAGACTGGGTCCCGCTGCCCCGAAGAGGAAGGAGACCTGTGGAGGCAAAGGAAATCCTAGGGTTGATCTGTTCCTGCCTGCTCCCACCCCATATTCCCTGCTGGAGATGGGCCCATCTGTGGGCTATGAGAGGGTAAGTGTGGTTTCCTGTACATGTCAGGATGCAAGGTCAGGTGCACTGTGGGCAGCCTTTCTTTTGGTGACTGAGAATCTGGGACTTGGCCAAGATGTTCCCAGCCTGCAGGAGTCCTACCCCCAGGTGCAGAGTACCTTCCTTCACCAAGATTCTCCGGGAGCCCAGGCTCTGGGCAACAAGCTCCCTCTCCCGCTCTGGCTCCTTTGCCCTCCGAAACAACTCCATCTCCTTCAGCTGCTTCAGCCGCATCTTCTCCTGGGCAGATTTGGAGATCGTGACTTGGATCTGGCACAAGTTCAAGGCAAACTCCATTACACTTGGAGACCCAATTCAACCTCCAGGGGCCAGAGCATACATATATTTAAAAAGGAAACCAGGCCAGAACAAGCTAGGACACCCTGAGACACGCTGTTCTCACTCTCTTCTCCACACTGACAACCCAAATGCCCTCTTTTTTCATGGTCCCTGCTATATCTGAGGCCCAGGACAGTGACCTGGAGGCATTGCTGAGAAGTTCACCAAACTTCAGAATCCTATTCAGATATCACCTTCTCCCAGAACCCTGCTCCCCAATCCAGACACTAATGCATTTCTTCTCTATACATTCATCTATTCAATCAACAAATTCACTTAGGAAAACTGTGAGTGCTTCCTATCGCTATTCTGGAAATGAGTGAAAAAGACAGAATCCTCGCTCCCAGAAAGGAAGACAATAAACAAACCATTCTATAATGCCAGGCAATAAGTGCCAAAAGAAAAGTTAAGGAGACAGAGGGTGATAGGGTCTTCCATTTTAGACAGGAAAGCCAAGAGGGATTCCCTGAGAAGGTGAGGTTTAAGCAGGGTCATCCGTGAAGCGAGGGTATAGGCCATACAGATTTCTATGGCTGGCTTGTCTTGAGTTGAAGGAGCAGCAGCTGGACAGACCTGGGCTTGCAGAGTGCTTGGGGTGGTCGGCCAACAGTGAAGAGGACTTGGACTAGAGCAATCTGGGTCAGAGTAGGGGCAGGACAAAAAACTGGGACGTGTAAGGGGAGGAGGTGCAGGATCCATAGCACACTGGGCCTTGTAGTCCACAGTAAGGACTTGGGCTTTCTCGCTGATGGCAGATGGGAAGCCATTGGAGCTTTTAGGCAGAGAAGTGCTATGATGTGAATTCCATTTTCAAGGGTGGGTGGGGGTCCTGTGAGTTGTTTGTTTTTTAATAACTGCTTATTTGGAATAACGAATAACTATTTGGAATAACTACGCATTCAACCGCAATGTTGGTTTGAACTGCAAGGTAGGTCATTCAAATCCACCAGCCCCTCCTCAGAAACCCTATACAGTGTCATTGTGAGTCAGAACTGACTCAATGGCACTTAACAACCACAGCAACATTTATTTGGAAGGAACTGTCACTGGAGAAGGACATCATGCTTGGTAAAGTAGTTGCTGTTAGTGCCATCAATTCAGTTCTGACTCATCATGTCCCTGTATAGAGTTTTCAAGACTATAAATTGTCACAGGAACAGAAAGTCTCATCTTTCTCCTGGGTGCTGCTGGTGGGCTCAAAACATCAACCTAGTGGTTCGCAGTTCAGTACTTATCCTCCAGGGTCACCGCACTCTGGTAAAACAGTCAGCAAAAAAGAGGAAGACCCTCAAGTAGACGGATTGGCACAGTGGCTGCAACAATGAGCTCAAATAGAACAAGAATTGTGAAGATGGCCCAGGACCAGGGGTTGTTTTGTTCTGTTGTTCATTGGGTCTCATGAGTGGAATCAACTCAACAGTACCTAACAATGCCAATAACAAATTTATTTGGAAATCATTTGACTTGCAAGACATTACAAAAATACAAGAGATCCCTGTACCCATCCCCAGCTCTCCCCAATGATAATATCTTGCATAACCACAGAAAATCCTGACTTCCTCTTGTAAAAGGATCATAGTGGCTGCTATGTGGGGAAGAGCCTGGAGCAGACACACCAGGTAGAAGCAGGAAGAGCGCTCAGGAGGCTAACACAACCACCTGAGTCGGGATCATGTCACTGGGGATGGTGAGAATGATCAGATTCTGAATATATTTTCCCAAGTGGAGATCACTGCTTTTGCTAACATATGAGGTGTCAAGTAAGAGAGAAAGATGGGTTCAAGATTATAACCTGAGCAAGTGGAAGCCTGGAGTTGCCTTTTATTGTCATTCAAGGATGGGGAAACACTGGAGAAAGAGGAGGTTTCAGGGGGGTGATGTTTCAAGAGTTGGGTTTTAGAATTAGTGTAAGTTTGAAATATCAATTATATGCTTACAAGGGCATATTGAATATGAGCTACAAATGGATATTTGAGAGTCCTTAGCATAGATGTACTTCTGGTGTGGCACTGCAGGATAAGCACTGGACTGTGAACCACTAGGTAGACAGTTCAAACCCACCAGCTGCTCCTTGGAAACCCGATACAGGAAGGCTATCAGTTGGAACCAATTCAATGGCACTTGACAATAACAACAAAAGTATATACATGGTACTCAAAGCCATGAGCTGGATTGGTTACCCAGTGGGGTAAATATAAATAGAAAAAGGCTAGAATACTAACCCCAAGAGCACTCCAGCATCTAGAAGTCAGGAAGCTGCAGAGGGGCCAGCTAAGAAGGGCTGAGCTGGCTTCTGATGTAGGCAGAGAGGCAAGAAAGAAGCTGTCTCTTGGCCTCTATCCCTACATGAAGATTTTCAAGAGAAATGAGTGACAAGTACTGTCAAAAGCAGCTATAAGGTCAAGTTCAAAGAGGACTGTGATGGGACTGTGTCTGGGGATGTGGAGGTCACTGGACACCTCAATGTGGGCAACAGGGACTAACACCCAGTTGGAGTAGGCTCAGTAAAGAATGGTAAGAGCGATGTGGTAATCGTTTGGGTTGGGTTTGGTGGTGGTGTGTTTTCTTAACATGAAAGAGATAACAAAACAGTAATATGCTAATAGGAATGATCCAGTTAAGAGGAAAACATTATTGACCCATGAGAAAGAACAAATGCTGGAATTGGGGTATTAGATGGATTAAGCTGAAACAATAGGACATGGTGGTGAGAGAATGGGATGCTTGAAGTTGAGATAATAGTGAAGATGAAGTCATTTGCTACCCCAAAGTCCATGGCACAACTATGGGAGTGAGTGTAAGGGTGGGAGGGAAGGAAGAGGAAGTCATTTCATGCACTGGCTTACATTTTGTTTCATGTTCTGTCACCTTCACGGGAGTGGGAGGACTCTGATGACTGGACCCTGTCATGCCGTCACTGAATCCCAGTCTCTAACATAATACATACACATCGTAGGCTTTCAGGTTTTTTGGGCACAGATCCTCCTTAACAGAGACTTTACGATTTGCTCAACTCTCCCAGACCAGGAAAGAGAAATTGCCTCCTCAAGGTCACCTTAGAAGTGCAACGTATTTGTCAGCCTGTCAAGCAGAGCCTTTGGCTGATCAGCCTCTGAGTCAGCTGCCTCTTGTTTGCTATCTTGGGTGTTGGCTCAGATTACTCAGCTCGGTTCACCTAAACCTCTCTGTACTCTCCCTCACATCCTGCTTCCTTCCAAACTGTGTGAGACCTCCTCATCCTGTCCTCCCCACAGCTCCCCACTGTATGCTGTACTCTTCCCTCATCTAGCTCCCCACCACCATTCTCTCCTCTTCTCCCTTATTCTCTTCACTTTATTCATTCAGCCCTTACCCCAAATCTGTCTACAGATTTTAAGGTTCTAGCCTTAAGTACTAGGGATAGCTGCCTTGGGGGCTTTTCCTTGCTCTCTTCCATTTTCCATAAGCTGGTCCCACACTTATGTATTTAAGACCCATGATGGCATTTAGCCAGTGGTCCACTTTGATCCCACTTCCTTCTCCCCTTGTTTCACAGATACCTTGTTCTCCTTCTGGTCCTCTTCTTTCATTAAAGGGCGGGCTTCTTTGGCATGGCTGAAGGAGAGGGCCGTGAGTGTAGGAGCAGACTGAGATGGAGGCAGAGCAGGCTTCTCCGCAGGGGCAGACCTGTCTCTGCTCACTGGTGCCGAAAGTCTGGGCTCTGAGGATTCAAGAACAAGAATGGAGCTGAGGACACCCAGCACTCTGAAGCAGCAGCCATCCCTCTGGTCTGCCCTTGGGGCTCTATAACCTTACAGTTGATGTAAAGTTACTGTCTATTACCTCCACCCCCAATTCTTCTGCAAAAAACTCACCAGATAGAGAACATACAAGTTAAATTTAGTGTGAGGTGCTATTGGATAAGCAATGGACTGCGAACCACGAGGTTGACAGTTCAAACCCAGCAGATGCTCCTCAGAGACCCTATAGAGGACTCCATGAGTTGGAACAGATCTGAGGGCACATAACAACAACAATATAAAATAGCATCTACAGGCATGGAAATTGTTGCCTGAGGAACATTCATTCGTTTAAAAATGTGTTGTTAAGTGCCATCCAGTTGGATCTGACTCACAGTGGCATATAGGGTTTCTGTAGGGCACATGTAATTGGGAGAGTTACGTAGCTACTCTCCACATCAGGTCTAAGACAGGGGAGGGAGTGGGAGTCTGATCAGGAAACAAAGTCAGATCTGTTGTCTAAGAAACTTTGAAAGCTCAAGACACTTCCTGAAAAGAGTTAAGTTTTGTCTCCCTGGGAAGTACTTTGTTGTTGTTGTTGTTGTTATGTGTCGTGGAGTCGGTTCCGACTCATAGCGACCCTGCACAGGGTTTTCTAGGCTGTAAATCTTTACGGGAGCAGAAAGCCTCATCTTTCTCCTGCGAAACAGCTGGTAGTTTCAAACTGCTGACCTTGTGGTTCACAGCCTGATTCGTAACCACTATGCTACCAGAGCTCCTTAGGGAAGTACTAGAAGAGAAAAATTAAAATGGGTACGCTGAACATTTTGTACCACATGGGCCTTTCTGAATCTGTCACACAAAGTGCAAGGCTAGAAACAGGAGGGTGGAGAGCTAAATAATGCCAGTCCAATTCTCACATTTCACATATGGGCAAGCTGAGGCCCACTGGCCATAGGATGCTCTTGTGATTGATACAATGCAAATTCGTTTCCACAGGACATTAAGTCCACTGCATCTCTTTGTCAGTCTACATTTTCCCAATCAATGGGTGTTAAAAGTGCATGTCTTGTTATCAAGGCGGATTGGGTAGATTAATTCATTTCCTTTTTTATGTTAAATTGATTCTCCTGCTCACACTGTTTCTCCTCATGTAAGCCTGCACATCAGGGGTCCATTTTGAGTGCCTTGAGTCTGGGGTGTTTGCAAGATGGCAGGTCACTCTGGTCTTCTGCCCTGTCCTTGGCTTTTGCTTGATGCTGGAAATGCTAGACTCTAAAGAAGGATCAACAGTGAAGAGGAGTTGGCAGAGCCTTCATCTGCCCAGAAGTAAGAGGCAAGGCAGAGAGCACAGTGTCCAGTGCCAGGTGACCAGGTCCAGGACTGTAAGAATGTTACATGATTCAAGAATGTCCCCAGCTTCAGATAATAAAATGAGAGTCCCTACTATGTGCTGGGCATGTTACACACATTAGCTCATGACATAGGTACAAATCCTAGTAGGGCCACACTAAGTGCTATGAAGCAGAGGCAGCTGTCCACCTTGCTGTGTCCCAGGGTGTCTCTATCGGAGTTGAGCTGGTATATGTGTGCATGCCTGACACAAAGCCGGACTCCATAATGCCACTACTCTTCCCTTCCACAGTCAGATGATAACCAACTTTCCTGTTCATAAAAAGAGAGGCTGGTCACTAAGGTCTCCAACCAGGAATGTGGAGAGTTACATAGCAGACGAAGGGATGCACATGGAGAGTACGTACCCAGAGATTTAGGAGTCTTCTCCCGAGGCCCACTCTCCCGAACCAATCTTAAAAGAATGAGGAGGGGGAAAAAAAGCACCATGAGAGAAGGTAAACTGGAGATGCTGCTGTGAAAAAGCTGAAGTTGCTCCAGGTTGGGGTGGTGGCTGAGATGGGGGAACCATGCAGGGGGCTCTGGGTGGCTCTGTAAGGAGACTCCTGGCCAGGGGTTCGGAGCCTTGGGAGATGTAGATGCCAAGGCATAACAGGTGTGTAACAAGACCAGGCCAGGCTCTCAGTGTCCAAACCAGCTCTCAGTGCCATTTCCTGGATGCACAGCCCATTAATTCCCAGGAAGGGGCATAGGCATGGAAACTGCGCAATCTGAACAGAAGCCCCTCCCCTGCAGTGACCCACTGGGCCTGGGAGCTGGGAAAGAGCAGCTGCCTCCAGCTCAGACGGCTGAGCACAAGTCCCCAAACTGTCCCCACCCCACAAGAGCGCCAATCAAACAAAAAACCATTGCTGACAAGCTGACTCTTAGCAACTCTACAGGACAGAGTAGGAGAACCCCTTAAGGTTACGAGACTGTAAATCTTCATGGAAGAAGACTATGCTGACCTTTCTGAGCAGTCCAGTGCTTATCCCACTGCTCCACCAGGGCTCACCACAACAGTTCAGTGATCTCTAAACATTTCTTCTCCTCAGGATAACAGTCCCCACTCTCCTATCCCCCAGAGTCTAGGGAAACTCATCCCCTTTGCTGCTGTACTAGACATTCAGTCCCGAAATACCCACAGTATTTAAGGCACTGATTTTCACTGTAATTTGTAAATTGGGCACAATCATTTACTCACTCTGCAGATATTTGTTGAAGGTCATAATGTGTCGAGCACTATTCTAGACACTGATAGCTGAGCATGAATAAAATAAATGACCATCCCTGCTCCCCTGGAACTTAGTTCTCAAACTGACATCTTTGTTCTTGAACACTTTAAAGAGGTCTTGTGCAGCAGATCTCCCTAATGCCATCCATCATTTGATTTTTTGACTGCTGCTTCCATAGGCATTGATGATAAATCCAAACAAAATGAAGTCTTTAAAAATTCCAATCTTTTCTCTATTTATCATGCTTTTGTTTTCTTTACATTGAGGGGTACCTCATACCAAAGTCTTTGATCTTTGTCAGTAAGTATTTAAGTCCTCTTTCCTTTCAGCAAGGAGATTGTATCAACTGCATATCACAGATCATTAATGAGTCTTCTCCCAATCCTGATACAACATTCTTCTTCAAAAATCCACCTTCTCAGTTTATTTGCTCAGGATACAGATTGAATAAGTATGGTAAAAGAATACAACCCTAGGGCACACTTTTCCTGAATTAAAACCATTCATTATCCTTTTGGTTGATTTTAACAACTGCATTTTGGTCTATACACAAATTCCTCAAGAGCACAGTTAAGTGTTCTGGAATATTCATTATTCAAAATATTTCCCATAGCTTGTTATGATTCACACAGTTGAAAGCCTTTGTGTAGTCAATAAAGCACAGGTAAACATCTTTCTAGAATTCTCTGCTTTCAACCAAGATCCATGTGATATCAGCAATGATATCCTTTTGTTTCACATCTTCATCTGAATCCAGCTTGAACCTCTGGCAGTTCCCTGGCAATGTACTGTTACAGCCATTTTTTAATTATCTTCAGCAAAATTTTACTTGAATGTGATATTAATGATATTGTCTCTTGATTTCCATATTCTGTTACGTCACCTCTCTTTGGAATGGGCACAAACATAGTCCTTTTACAATCAGTTGGCCAGGTAGCTGGCTTCCAAATTTCTTGGCATAGATGAATGAGTGCCTAAAAGGCTGGTTCAGTTTGATGAAAGATTTCCATCTGTATTCCATCAATTCCCCAGTGTCTTGTTCTTTGCCAATTCCTTCAGTGCACCTTGGACTTCTTTCTTCCTTCATTATTATTGTCTCTTGATCATAGGTCATTGAGAAGACAAGAAAGAAGGAAAAGATGAAAATGGATGTCAAAATAGACTCTGAAACTTGCTCTCCAGTGTAAAGCAAATGGAAGAAATGAGGAGGTAAAAGAGCTGAACAGAAAATTTCAAAAGGCAGCTGGAGAAGACAAAGTCAAAAATTATAATGAAATTACAAAGACCTGGAGTTAGAAAACCAAAATGTAAGAACACACTCAGCATTTCTCAAGCTGAAAGAACTAAGTAAAACATTCAAGTTTCAATTTACAATACTGAAGGATTCTATGGACAAAATCGTGAACGACACAGAAAGCATGAAAAGAAGATGAAAGGAATGCACGTTCAGTATACCAAAAAGAAATGGTTGGTGCTCAATCATTTCAAGAGGTAGCATATGACCATGGAGATTACGCTCCCTAAAAACCAGGTATGTACCAGCTACCATGGATGAGAACCCTAATCAGAATCCTTTGGGGGCTTACAGGGTGACATGCCTCATCCTGTGCTCCAGCCTCAGAAGATACACCAGCAGCATGGCTCAGGCCAGGGTGAGCCAGAGGGTGGCAGAGGCCAAGTCAGTGTCCACCCTGGTCTAGGGGACCCCTACCCCTATGTCCACTGGAGGGCAGAGTTTCAAGATGGTCCTAGACCATTTAAGACTTAGAGTTCCTCCTTGAAACAGACATGATCTTTGTGATCCAGACCCACATGGAGGGCTCGTGTAACAAAGATAGGAGGTGAACGGCCCAGGATACCTAGCCTAGGGAGTTCAGCTACTAGTGCTTTGCCATTGGTACCGCCACTGTCCAGACTGCACAACTAGGCTTATTTTTGGAGGAGGGTAGATGAGCAGAAGTAGGAAAGGTGAGACTGAGAAGTCCCTGGGACTGTCCCTGATTCCTAAAGTCTCATGGAGGCCTTGGAGCTTAATGTGGGCACAAACACCAAAAACACTGGTGTTGTCCATCACTGCTCAGCGGCGGTGCAGGCTGCTGCTTTCCGTCCCCTGCTGAGCAAGAGTATTGGCAACAGAGAGTTTGGCTCTATTTCTTTCAAGCTGTGGACCTTAGGGGACTCTCTGCCATTATCCTTTTCTAGAGACCCCCACAGCAAAAAGGACCTGAAGTCAAGACAGACATCCTCACCAGGGTCTCTGCCTTTCTCCAGGTGACATCCCAACCCCTCCTCCCTCTGCTGAATCACCACCACTGAAGGGACTTCCATAGAACCTGAACAAAGTTCTGCCTCCTACAAGAGCCCACTCCCTGCTCCACATGGTACCTCTACCCACTTCCTGATGTCCACCCAGAAGTGGACTCACTCTGCCCCCAGCTCATCTCTCCTCTGGATCCTCTGTCTGCTGGTCCAGGAGTGTCAGCATGGTCTCTATCTTCCCTTATCTTATCCCCTGCCCCCAGCCCCTGCATCCTTCCCATCTCCAAGCCCACTCACTCTACCTGCCTAGCCCCTCTGCACCCTCTCCATCACAGATCCAGCTGCCCACAACTTCTCCCCTGGATTATAGTTCCCACCTTTGTTTGCACTCCATTCATCCCTGTCACTCTGTGGTTGCCAAAGTGGCCTTCTAAATCACAGCAAAAGTCACTCCACACCAAAAAGTGTTCAGTGGCACCCCATTATGTCAGGATAAAACTCTCACTACTCAATTTCACACACAGGGCTCTTCTGTACAGCCTGCATCATCCACCTGTCCTGTGTCTCCCGCAAACACAGGTGTGGCCTTGCAAATTCCTCTGGCTCTCTGATGACCTCAGTCACTCCTTCTTCAGGTCTCTTTCTCTTCTTCATCTCTCAAACACTCCCTCAGCCTCCAAAGCTCACTTCAGACCTCAGCTCCTCCAAAAATTCTTCCCAACCTGATTTAGATTTTCTATTGGGCAGTCCCGACTCACAGCAACCTTAGAGGAGAACAACTCCTGTGGGTTTCTGAACCTAAATCTTTACAGAAACAGACAACCTCATCTTTCTCTAATGGAGCTGCTGGTGGGTTTGAACTGCCAATTTGGGGGATTAGCCGTCCAACGCTTAACCCACTACACCACCAGGGCTCTTTATCTGGCAAACGATGTTGCTATTGTTAGATGCTGTTGAGTTGATTTCAACTCATTGTCACCTGATGCACAACAGAATGGAACAATGCCCAGTCCTGTGCCATTCACACAATTGCTTGAGCCCATTGTAGCTAGTATGTATCAGTCCATCTCACTGAAGGTCTTCCTTTGTTCCCTGATCCTCCACTTTTATCAAACATGATGTCTTTCTTCAGGGACTGGTCCTTCCTGACAACAAGCCCACAGTTTGAGAGACAAAGTCTCAACATCCTCACTTCCAAGGAGCATTCTAGCTGTACTTCTTCCAAGACAGATTTATTTGTTCTGGCAGTCCATGGGACTTTCAGTATTCACCAACACTATAAATCAAATGCATCGATTCTTCTTCCGTCTTCCTTATTCATTATCCAACTTTCACAAGCATATTGCCAATATGGATTCCACTTCATTTTTTATAACTTGTAATTTTCCTAGAGACATACTTCGTACATTCCATGCTCTGATTATTAATGGATGTTTGCAACGGCTACTTCACATTTTGAGTCATACTCTATCAGCAAACGAAGGTCCCAAAAGCTTAACTCCAACTACGTTATTAAGATCGACTCTACTTTGAAGCAACAGCTCTTCTTCAGTCATATTTTGAGTGCCTGCCAACGTGAGGGGCTCATCTTCCAGCATTATATCTGACAATGTTCTGCTGTTGTTCATAAGATTTTCAGTGTCTGAACATGTACAAGTGATCGCCTCTCCTTCTTCCTCGTCTGTCTTAGACTAGAATCTCTGCTGAAACCTGTCCACCATGGGTGACCCTGCTGGTATTTAAAGTATCAGTGGCATAGCTTCCAGAATCACAGCAACATTCCAGCCACCACAGTGCCACAAACTGACAGGTGAGTGGTAACTGTTACCTGGCACATGTTGTTATTAAGTGCCCTTGAGTTGGTTCTGATTCATAGCAACCCTGTATAGGATTTCCAAGGAGCAGCTGTTGGATTTGAATTGTTGACCTGCAATTCAAAGCCCAGTGCTGATCCTACAATGCTACACTAGAAGTGCACCTGGCACATAGTATGTGCTTAACAGGTTTTAAGCAAATAATGAATGGATGTATGAGTGAGTGAGTGAATAGATGAGTGAATGAAATGGTGACAGGACCTCTTCCCTCCCCGACCCCCATTTGCTAGAGGGTCTCGCAGAGTCAATGAGAGGAACTGGCATCACAACCCGAGAACAAGTGGGCAGATAATCACTGTATGCAGAGATCCACACCAGGCATCTTGCTTGGTACCAGGGAGCCATGTATGCCTCTACACAGCCCGGCACTCCAAGGTCCCAAGTTAAATCACAGAATAAGGTTTACATAAAAGTTAAACAAAACAAAGGCAGGGAGGTGGTCAGGCAATTCATGTTCCTGAGTCACTTTCCCTTCTGGTCACTTCAATGAGGGCAACAAAGACTTCCAAAGCAGAGTAGACATGAAACTGGGGTTCAGAGAACTGTAGAAGCCAAACAAGTGGGGCAAGGGTGAAAGTCATGGTTGGGCTGCAGGGATGATGTGAAAAAGATCCTCATTTTGGAGGAGCAAGGTTCTGTGTATGAACTTCATGTTCATGGGGGGCCTGGAGAGGAAGTTTCCTGCAGAGCAGCCAAGGAGGTGATATGTGGAGTGGCAGGCTGGTGATGTGCCCTGAGAGTGAGACCCAGGAGAATGGCTCTTTCAGTTCTTGGCAACAGGAAGTCAGCAAACATGCAGTGTTCAGACTTGTTGGAGGAGGGGAGGTAGTACTATAGGATAAGCAACGATCCACAAGGTTCGTTTGAACCGTAAAGCTGTCAGTCCAAACTCACCAGCTGCTCCTCAGAAACCCTATGCAGGAACCGAATGAATGGCACGTAACAACAACAAGCTAGGTCTGGGGCTCAGGACCATAGTGTCAGGAAACACCAAGGTCAGTTGGCATAATGTAGTCAGTCCACAAAGGCATTCTACTTTGGTGAGTAGCGACTCAGGTCTTAGAAGCTATTGTGAGCAGCTATCTAAGGTGCCACTATTGGTCTCTCCCTGTGTGCAGGCAAGAAGAGTGATGAAAATTGAAGGTACAGGGAAACAGTCCAATGGGCCATGCAAACCTCAGTCTCCATGACCCTGAGACTAGAAGTACTAGATGCTACCTGGTCACCACTGCCAGTCACTCTGAAAGGGGCCACATTCAAAGATCCTGAACAGAGTGGGAGGAAAATATGAAACAAAACTGAAAATCATAAAAAAAAATTAAAAAGACCAAATTTACTGATTGGACAGAAACTGGTGGAACCCTGAGACTACGGCCTTTAGTCACCCTTCAGGTCTGGAAATGAACTCACCTCCCATGGCTCAACCTTCAGCCAAATAACTAATAAGTCTATCAATAAAGGGAACAACAACACTAGTGAGGTACGCACACCTTAGAATTTTCAACCATTTGAGATCAACAGGACAGAATTTACCTAAGGACAAAGCTCAAAAGGGTTAGGAAAGAAGGAGGAGGAATGCAAACAGAAAACCCAGGGAGGAAGTGGAATCAATGATGTTACATTATGGGGACTGCAATCAAATGACATGAAACAAAATATGTATCACTTGTTGAAGATAAAATGGACAATCTGCTCTGTAAACCTTTACCCAATTCATAATCAAAATAAAATGTTAAGAAAAAACATTCAAATAGAAAGCAAAGGGTAGGCTGGGATAGGAGAATATTGTGGTAGGCCAACAAGGAGCCAGGAAGTGCAGGCTGAGAGAAAAAGGCAGAGGCAAAATAGAGGTAAAGACTTTTTGTATTTTTCTGTGTTTTAAGAAAGATGTGATGGATGTATGTAGCATTCTGTTTGATACCAGAGGCAATAAGGGCAGGAGTCAAATATGATATGGAGTTTTGAAGTCCAAGAAGAGAGGCTGCACTCTGACAGAAATAAGGAGCTTTGGGAAGGGAGGCAAATCCCTGAATGATACAATTGATTTGTGCTAGTCTGCTAAATGAAAGATTGGGAGTTCAAATCCACCCAGTGGTGGTATGAAAGAAAGGTCTGGCAATTTACTTCTGAAAAAAATCACCGCCATTGAAAACCCTATGGTACAGAGTTCTACATTCAGACTCACATGTGGGGTTGCCACAAGTCAGGATCGACTCAACTCTATAGCAATGGACTTTTGCTATTGTTTTTGTTTTTTGGAAGAGTATTAGGCAGTTTGGGGAAACACAGGGAGCTCCTTGTTGGCCAGAGTGGTCATTCCTCCCTGTCCCTATGAGATACATCTGCATCAGCCAGGAGAACTAGTGACATCCAACAGGAGGATGGAAACTGGAAGGAGCTTAACCCTGGGGACACATCAGGAGCACAGAAGTCACCAGCACCTAGGGGCTCTTAGAAGCCCAGGGAAGAATTAAGACATGGAGCCAATGGCCCTGCACTGTGGATTAAGGCGCTGGACTGCAAAGCTGGTTTGAACTGCAAGGTTGGCAGTTCAAGCTAACCAGCCACTCCACGGAAACCCTATACAGGATTGCTATGGGTCAGAACCAACTCAATAACACTTAACAATAACAACATTTAAGAACTGAAGGAGAGCACACAGGAGACTGACCAGAAAGTCCAGGAGTAGGTAGAAGGCCAAGAAAAGTTCAAAGGCTCAACAACAGTTCAAAAATGCAAAGAAAGTGGGAATAATAAGGGGAGACCACCGGTCTAGGTCTAAAGGTTCACCTATAACCACATTTCAGAGGAGAAAGAGGTAAGTGTCTGAGCAGGAAAGGAGGACAAGATGTCAGATGGAGAGAAAGAAGAGTAGAGCACACTACCCGTCCAAAACAGATAGTGAAAATGGATCAGAAAACCCAAAAGTAGCTGCAGTCCCATTACCCCAACAGGGTTAGAAAGACATGGAAATGTGTGTGGGCATAGGGGAAGATGGCAAAAGTGAAGAAATTTGAAGGAAATGGAAGAATTTAGTACACAGAAATGGGAGATAAGTCAGATCCAGCATGAACTCATTCGTGACCCTGGCCCATGGAGCAGCAGTGCATATAGACACACACACTTGCTCTGACATCATTGTGATGGACGCAGAAATAGTCTTCTCCTTCTGGAGAGCATGTCTGTTTCCACTTACAAGTCATAAACCCAGATTCCTTACAACACTGAAATCCTCAACCCCATTGGTTCCCAGATTTGGGGGGTATAAAGACTCCATTTTTAAGTCTAAAAGGAAGGTAGACTTCCCACCCATATGCTAATTATTGTATTTTTAGTATTCCTTAAGGAGTCCTGATGAGGTGATGCAGGATGCTGCGCTGGACTGCAAGGTCAGTTTGAACTGCAAGGCCAGAGGTTCAAACTCACCAGCCACTCCTCAGAAACAGTATACAGGGTCGCAATGAGCCCAAACAGACTCCATGGCACTTAACAACACCAATCAAGAAAAAGGAGAGCAGTGGTGCCTCAGTGGTAGAATTCTTGCCTTCCGCGCAGGAGACCCAAGTTCAATTCCCAGCCAGGGCACCTCATGCGTGGTTACCACCCATCCTTCAGTAGATGCTTGCGTGTTGCCTGGATGCTGAACACATTTCAGCAGAGCTTCCAGACTAAGACAGACTAGAAGAAAGGCCTGGAGATCTACTTCCAAAAATCAGCCAGTGAAAACCCTACACAACAGTCTAATGCAACCAGTCAGAGAGATGGTACCGAACCTGGCAGCATTTAGTTCCTTTGTGCTTGGATGATGGTGTTGCCGTGAGTCAGGGGTCAACTGGAAGAGGCAGCTAACATTAATAATCAAGAAAATACAGAATAACAAAAGCAATCATTAATACAATAGTGCCTTAAGATAGTGTGCATTTTACTCATCACCAGAGCAACTACATGTACTTAGAAACTAGGAAAATAAGGCTCCAGGCCTTGTTTATTTCACCTGTACACCCAGCCTAGTGAAGTCAAGAGTCAGAGAAACACTGGCAACAGTGCTGTGGCCTTCCAGGGTCTGTGGCCCACAGCTTGGGGGATGGAGCCCTCCATATACCCACTGACCCCAGAGCTCTCTGCCCTGACATGGAAGTTCAGCCACAGGAAACAAGGCAAATCCTGGGAGAGTGGAGGGAGAAGGGACTCCAAGACAGACATAAGAGGACCACTTACCGAGTGCGTGGGGCCCTCAGGACTTTGAGGACATCCTGTCCTAGAGGCAAGGGACTGGGAAGGGAGCAGGGTGCACCAGAGGAGGTCCCAGCAGACAGCCCAGCCTTGGGGATGGGAGGAATCACGATGCCTCCCAGAGACTTGTGCATCTTCTCATCATTGCAGTGCAGGTATTGTGGGGAGATCTGGACCTGGACAAGGAGAAGGTGTTATGGATAGAATTGTGCCTCTATGGGTTGAGGTCCTGGCCCCTGTGCCTATTTGGAAAAAGGATTTTCTTTTATATGCTAACCCTAAGTGTGGTGGGTCTTAAACCTCGTAATTTCTGAGTTATCAAAAAAGCAGACTAGACACAGAGACACAACATAGGAGACTCAAAGATGTTGCCATCTGAAGACAGATGCACACAGCAGATGCAGCTATAAACCCAAAATGCCAGGGATTTCTGCAGCTACTAGAAGCTAAGAAAGACAAAGAAGGACCTCCCCTAGACTCACTCCCTGAACTGGACCATCCACCTCTAAAACTGTGTGAAAATAAATATCTGTTCTTTAAAGTTATTTGTTACAACAGCACTAGGGAATTAAGTCAGGCAAGGGTACTAGTTAATGGGAATATCTTACTCTGGCTGCTTGCCTCCCAGCACCTCATATCAGGTGACCCCTTCTTTTGGGAGCCCCTGGGAAGTGTCCTCTTTACTGGGGGGTTCCCAGAAAACACACTGAGCCTTTCTGTTCCAGGTAAGAAGACTGCAAAGGTCTCCCCCTCATCCTTATACCACACATTTTTCTTGTTGCTGGTTTGTTTTGGGGGGTGTGTGTGTGTATGTGTGTGTGTGTTTTTCTGTTCTTCTCATTTCAGAAAAATTCTACAGTTTCCAAGGAAGGGATCTGCAAAAATATCTGGTGCAGTACCCTCATTATGTGGATGCGCAGACCAGGGTCCTGAGAGGGCAGGGGCTTGCCCAAGGTCACACAGCCTGTGAAGGAAGGGCCCGGCACAGCACACCTCTCTGGAGTCCTGTTCTGTCATTTTTTCTCCTCTGCCAGAGGAGAGTCAGAAAACACGATGAATTCTGGAACATTTGGACAGAAGTCCTACTGACCACCAAATCTAAGGCAAGTGGCCATGTGGTACTTCTAGGAACAAGATGCTCACTACGTCCAGGGCAGCTATCTAGAACTCCCAGGGTCCCAACTAGAATAGTTTTAGATGCTCTGGGAAATGATGCCTTCCCCTCTTCTTGAGGATGGCTCCTAAGACAGGGTCCCAGACCATAGTTTGCTGAGACAGATGACATAGTCTAATCTCTCATTTCACTGCTGAAGAAAATGGGAAGAGGAAAGTGGCTTGCCCAAGTCACTCAGTGAGTGAGTGTTGTGCTGAGCCTAGATTGCAGGTACCTCCTCTCCATCTGGGGCCCTTTCCCTGCTCTCCGTGGGTGGAAGGAAGGAGCTGCAGAGCACAGCCCAGAGGTTCTAGTCTTCAGAGTCAGGATTCCAGATCATTCAGCTCTGCCCCCAACTCCACCTCACAGTGGAGGAGTCCAACCCAGATCACCTCTAAGGTACAGCTGTGGACTACTCTAGACCTCCACCCTGCCCATCCCCCATTTCTACCTCTCTTGAATCCATCTATGAACCTCATCCAACTCCAGGGGGCTGGTGTTAAAATGAAGGAAAGACAGGATAGGGAGATATAAGAAACTGCAGGCAAGACTCACTGGAATCACCTTACCTCCTGGGCACCAGGTCTCAGCTCCTGGGGACCCTGGCTACTTCCTGGTGGGACTGGGCTCTTCTCCTTGGCTCCACCAGCCTCAGGGGTGGTGGGGATGCTCTGGATGGGTGGCATCGGCCTGGGAACACTCAGCAATCTCTGCAAGGTAGTGCGAGGGATGGTGTTCTTCAGGGGGACACCTTTGAGACCTCCTCCAGGATCCAGAGAAGCTGTTCAGGGTTGGAGATGGGAAATAAGTTAGTCCCAGGAAAGTAGGGGGATGGGAGATCCGCCCCCAACTCCACACCCACACAAGAATGAGCAAGCAGATGATGTTCAGTGCATTTTCCTTCCTGTAAAATTTGGTAGAAAGTGCCAATCAAAGTCACCTATTTAAAATTCAGAGACGGTGTGGGAAGGAAAGGAAACATAGGCTCTAGATTAGGAATACAGAACACACAGGAGCCCTGTGGCCACAGGCAAGTCACTCTCTCTGAATCCCTATTCACTCTTGGCAAAATGAAAGGGATGGCATCATGGAATGGTTCACAAGATTTGATGGCACAATGTTTCCAAGATGCTAAGGCAGTGCCTGGCACATGACAGGTGTCAATGCCTGACTTCTTCAGCTAATGATGTGAGGAAACAGCTGTTTTGACACAGGGGCACCCAGACATAGTATAAAAGGCAGACCTTCACATTTCAATTAATATTGGTGTTGGTGGTGTTTCACGGAATCGGTTCCAACCCATAGTGATCCTGTACAGGGTTTCTGAGGCTGTAAGTCTTTATAGGAGCAGAAACCCTCATCTTTCTCCCATGGAACAGCTAGTAGCTTCAAACTGCTGGCCTTGAGGTTTGCAGCCCAATTCATAACCACTACACTACCAGAGCTCCTTCAATTAATATTAATAATCAATAATTAATGACCAGCACTTCAATTAATAACTTATATGTCCAATAGTCATCCACTCTCCACCCCTGGCCCATCCCACCTCCCACAGTGGCATCCCTCATGCTGCCCTTAGGACAAAGGCACAGAGCAAGGAGGACTGGCTAAGCGCTCACAATTATCTTTGCTAACACTGTTGGTGGACAGTGGTTAAAAAAAAACACAAAAAACTATTGTTTTCACTTTCAAAGACCATTTTGTTCCAGCTACATCAAAATAACTGCACTAAGGCAACCAAGTGCAAGTATCTGCTCTGCTCCCTGAACACCCCCACCCTGCTCACGGTGGCTCTGCCATGCCCTTGTGCAATGTGTGCTGCTTTCAGCATGACAAAGGTAAGGAGGGGTCACAGACCAAAAGCACAAAGAAACCCCAATGCAAGATGGCAGAGCAGCTCCAGCCCTGCTCAAGGGGTCAGGGATCCGTGTTCACGTGCACTTCCAAGGGTGAAAGTGAGGAAATCAGCTGAGGAGGCTGCTTCACAATCCCAAACAGAAGATGGTGCTCCAAGGAGGTAATCCAGGAGAAAGAGAGGATGCTTGTTAAGTATCCCAGCATGCCACCTGTCTACCCCCTGAGCCCACAGGTCAGGTGACCTGGGGTCCCTAATTTTTGGGGGGTGGGCGGCAGTGGCAGGGCCCAAAGCTTACCTCGGGAAGATGCTGCCAAGCCCTCTGAGAGCCTCCTCTTCTTGAGCTTGTCCTTGATCTGGATGGTTTCCCGGGCCACACTGCTGGCCTCTGACTCCAGTGAGGGGATTGGTGCAAGGAGGTGGGGTCCCAAAGGCAGGGCCCCGAGACTTCTAGGGTAGCCATTCCTAGCCTGCCAGCCCTTCAAGGGGGCATCCAGCTTGAGTCTGCCAGGGTCCCCAGATCCACTCAGGAGCTGTGATGGCTTTTCTTGCACTGCATTCGGCACAGACTGGAGGGAGGCTGAGGGAGATAGAGGCATGAATGGCTAGGCACATGGGGCCCAGGTGGCACCAGGTACCTACAAATGCTTTGTCAACCATGTGCCTGGTGAATCCCAGTCACTCAATGTCTTAGCCACTCCATCGATTCATTTACTCAACAAAGTGCCTAATCTGAACCAGGCCTGTACTAGGAGGTACTCTGGAGACAAAAGGCCTGTACTAGGAGGTACTCTGGAGAAGTCAAACAACACAGATAATGGGCCACACATGCTTCTAAACAGTTCTGCCCAGGGACTATTTCTGCAATTCAACACACATATTCAATATGACTGAGTACCTGGTAGGCACAAGCGACAGAGGGGTAAAGGGAAGTTCAGGTGGTTCAGAACCAATCATGCTCTCACGCAGATATAGATGTAACCAACAGCTCATTCAGCTCACGTTTAATAAGCATCTACTATGTGTAAGGAGCTCTGGTAGCATAGTGGTTACGAATCGGACTGTGAAATGCAAGGTCAGCAGTTCGAAACTACCAGCTGTTCCACAGGAGAAAGATGAGGCTTTCTGCTCCCATAAAGATTTACAGCCTCGGAAACCCTGTACAGGGTCGCTATGAGTCGGAACTGACTCCATGGCACATATCAACAACATGTGTTCTGGAGTCCCAGTATGGTGCTACGGACTAATGCATCAGACTACAAAGGCATTTGAACTGCAAGGTTGGTGGTTCAAGCTCACCAAGCTGCTCCTTGGAAACCCTATACAGGGTCACTATGGGTCGGAATAGACTTTACAGCACTTCACAACAACAACAATGTGTTCTGGTGGAGTCCTTGTGTGGCACTGTGGGTTAATGCGCTGGACTGTAAAGTTGGTTTGAACTGCAAGGGCAGGGGTTCAAGTTCAGCCGCTCCTCGGAAATCCTATACAGGGTCACTCTGAGTTGGAACTGACTCGACGGCACTTAACAACAACAACAACAACATGTGCCAAACAGGTGTCCCTGGGTGTGCAAACAGTTAACATGTTCAGCTGCTAATAAAAAAGCTGGAGGTTCAAGTGTAACCATACATGCCTTGGAAAAAAGTCCTGGTGATCTACTTCCAAATATCAGCACAGTTCTCCTCTGACATACATGAGGTGTCCATGGGTCAAAGTCGACTCAATGGCAAATGTACTTTTATGTGTCAAATACTGTCTAGGCAGCAGAGATACAGACATAAATGAGGCAGTCTTTGCCATTATGGAATTTTCAATGTATTAGAGAAATAAAAGATTTCTGCAAAGAGGAACATCACAAAATAAAATGTGTGATGTGCCATAGAAAGACATGAACAAAATGCTTTGTGTACTTAGAAGAGTCCAGTAACCTTTGAACTGAACCTTGAAGATGCCCTGAACATGGAGGTGCAAGGCAAACACAGACAGACCAGTTTTCAGAATCTCTACCTCACCCACAACCACTTTTAGGAGATCCTTAATGCCACAGACCCTGCTGCCCAGGCCACAGATACTGGACTGGGACATTGGGACCCAGAAAGAAGGACACCCCAACTCTAAGCCAGCCTCTGGTGTATGTGGGCTGACCTAGAAGCTTTGCTTCCTCACAGAGGAGGGTGATGACTGGGATTAATCGATTCTCCATGCAAACACTGGAACTGGAGCTCTGTGAGGAATACAGATTGCAGCTGGAAGCTGGTGGCATAGCTAGATTTGGTGTTACCCATTGCAATAACTCACAGTGTCATTCCTCATGGGCAGGGTCAGCTGTTGAAACACCCCTGTGGGCGGAGCAGCTTGGCCCAAGGCCCCGCCCCCAGCTCCCCCAGCTCCTAACCTCTATCTCCCATTGGCCAAGGTAGAGTTCCCTGGGGGCGTGGAGCGGGAGGGATTGGAGCTAATGATAAATTATCACCTTGGGTGACAGGTAACGCCAACCCTAGTTACACCACTGCCTTGGCAACCTCACTCCCCACCACAGCACCCTCTTTGATAGTACTATGACGTGCGGTCTGCCACCCTCCCTAGTAATGCCACTGCTAGAAGTTAAAGCATGAAGTCATCATGTGGTAATAAAGGCAGAGAAGTTGAGTTTCCTGTTGTAAAAGTCACCACAGCTGTGGCACTGGGGATGCTTACTTTTCTGACTCCACCTAGGTGTTGAACGCCCCAGTTCCTTCACACACTGTCAGACTCTGGGCCCATTGTGCAGATGTTCCCATCTTCCTATTACTGCAATTCCCGTCATACACCTCCACCCCAGGGCAAAGAACTGAAAGAACCTACCACACTGGACTGCTAACCCCATGATCTGCAGTTCAAACCCATAAGCCTTTCCATAGAAATAGGATTGCTATGAGTCAGAACCCACTTGACAGCACTTAACAACCACCTATACAACCAAAGGGCATTTTCAGCAGGGGCCACAGCAAATCTAACATCTGCTGGTTGCTTTAGAACACAGGCATCTAAACACACTCCTTTCCAGGTCTCCAGGATCTGCCCCGTGGTCAGTGGAGCTGACTGGGCAGCTGCTAGGTGGGCCCCATTCTCTAATCAAAGTCCCGTAAGAAACCACCCAGGAAATCCCATGGCCTGACCAGGCCAGCTCCTCTCACCTTCTTTGTAGACCTGCAGGCTGGAATCCATGCTGCCACCAGGGAGAGCACGTGGCCTGATACTGGACCAAGGGACGCTCCTACAGTACACGGCCACCTGAACCAGAGCCTTGGCTGAGGACAGACCACAGGGAGGGCAGCATCTTAGAGTCCTCTGAGGCCAGGGCAGGGAGCAAACAGACCTCTAGTGATGTGCCTCTGAGCACCAGCAGCTGAGGGAGCTCAGTCCCTCACAGGCTCTATTCAAAAAACTAAGGGCATGTAACCTGTACTCCAAAACCATCCTGGCCCTCAGAGGGAGCATGCCACCTTGCCCCAAGCAGCCGTAGCACCTGTGGTCTCCACCATGTCCCCCACACACTCCCTGCCTCAGTCCCCTCAGCCTGACTACTCCCTCTGTCCTCACATTTGCTTTGCCTTCACCTCCTGCCCTAAATCTCTGGCTGTGTTCCTCAGTCTCCTCCATGGGCTCCCCTCATCCACCACCCAACCACACTGAGCCCTGGTGTCCCTGCCTCTGTCCACCACACATCTCATACTAGCTGTTCTCACGGCCACCTGTTCATTGCCATGCTTTCACTGGTCACCTACATGTAGAGTGCCCCCAAACAGCCTGGCTAAGCATCGGGTCACTTGCAGAATCCCTCTCCCTTGGAAGGCCTCAAGCACCACATCAGCTCAACACATCCTGCTCTAGTCTGTCTTTCTGCCTCAGCTCCCCGCTCCACCCTGACCCATCCTGGCTCAGCAAGTGGCAGGGCAGCCCTGATGACATGGTAGTGGCCAGACTGTCTCCGTCCTTGTCTGCAGGACAAGCTGAGGAGAAGGAGGATTAGCAAACACTGGGGTGGGGAGGATAGGGGGGTAGGGGGCTGTGAGCCCACATAGCAAGAGGGGCTACCTGGGCCAGGGACAGGAAAAACTTTCCAGAGGGAAGGGCCACTGAGATGAGACCTCAACAAGGAGCAGGAGTCAGCTGGGAACAAAGGACTCTCCTGAGGCACCACGCCTCTCATAGCTTTCCCTCTTCTCCCTGCTCCCTCAGCATTTCAGGTACTTTTTGTCCCACCCTAAGCAGAGGTGTCAGATGGAGGTACTCATTTTACACAGACCTCTCCAGACATCTATCTCCTACCCTGCTCTGTGGCATCCTCAGGACAAGAATCAAATCATATTCATTCTTAAATCATTGTACTGGAGGAGGAGTCACTAGGTAGTGTAAAGGGTTAATAGCACCCTCAGCAGCTTACTGAAAAGACTGGAGGTCAAGTCCACCCAGAGGTGTTGCAGAAGAAAGGCCCCAAAAATCCATCACTGGAACCCCGTGGAGCACTGCTCTACTCTGACATACATGACTCAAGGCAACTAGTTATTTGACGCCCAGTAGGCAGTTCACAGGAGTCCTGGTGTGGCGCTGTGGGCTAATGCGTCAGACTGCAAAGTCGTTTGAACTGCATCAGTGGTTCAACCTCACCAGCTGCTCCTTGGAAACCCTATACAGGGTCATTCTGGGTCAGAATCGATTCAGCAGCACTTAACGATAGCAAGGCAGTTCACAAGAGCATGTGCGCTGAATTGTTGGTCTAGCCCCTCCCAAGCAGACCACAGAACTTCCATGGGACTCTCTTACCCACCATGTGGAGAAGCCCCCACACAGAGCAACCACCTCAAGGCTGAGAAGTCTCAAGGAACCAAGAGTCAGGCTCTGGTCTTGTTTTTGCCCCCTGTGTGACCTGGAGGAATTAAGTTAACCTCTCTGAGTCAGTAAAACAAAGGCTTTGGACAAAGCCAGGGTTCACTGCTTTATACCTCAGGAAACAGAACCCTAAGGAACTGGAGACTGTTTTCCAACATTCAGAGAAAATCAAATTCATTAATAACATCCTGTTTTAGATTTAGAAACTTTCCTTAAGCTTTCAGCAACTCCCTGATGGCAGGCAATATCTGATTTCACTCTAAACTGTGCATTTATCTTGTTTTCATATTAATATGTCAAAAGAAAAACAAAATATCTGCATAATTTAAGGCTAAAAAAGGAGGTGATGAAAGTTTAAGAAAAAATCTAGAAATGAAATGAAGATTTTTGTTTTCGTATTAATGTATCAAATAGAGTCCTGGTATGGTACTATAGTATAAGCACTGGACTGCTAGTCACAAGATTGGCAGTTCAAATCCACCAGTCACACCTCAGAAACCCTATATAGAATCTCTATGAGTCAGACCCAACTCCACAACACTTAACAACAACATTAATATATCAAAGGTCCCAAAGGTTCAATTCTGTGCTTCGTTTTCAGGCATTCCTTCCAAGTGGTCATCTGACCCTCACAAGCAACCCATTTCACCTGGGGCAAGACTGACCTCTCAGTCTTCATAAAAACCAAGACTCACACAGCTAGAACCACAGTAGCAGAGCCAGGCCTGAAACCCCATCTCCTGATACTAAGGCTGCCACACACTGTTCCTGCTGTCCTGCCTCACCTGCTAAGAAACTTCTCCAATACCCCTGAGGTCTCAGGACCCATACTCAGACTCCAACCACAGAAAGATGTCACCCCTCAATCAGCTCACACTGCCTCAGACACTAGAGTGGTGCTCAGCACAAGGCCCTGGGACACTCTAAGTCCTTCCCCAGGCCAGGCAGCCACCCAGACACTGGAGGAACCCCTGAGCAGGGCAGGTCCCATTCCCACATGGAGAAGTAGGTCAAGTTAGGAAGCCTTGGCCACCTGGCAAAACTCCCAGGCAGAGCATAGCCTCTGTGGAACAGCTGAGAAGTTCCGCCCCATGGCTCAGCCCACTCCCAGCCTGGGAAGTACCAGTAACAGGTCTCCCTAGGTGTCCTTTACCTGGAGGGACATCATCACGTGTGCCCATGCCCCAGGTGGAGAAGAGGCCTGGAGGTTGTCCAGAGGCAGCCGCTCCTTACTGGTCTGGCAGTACAGTCTTTGAGAGTCCAGAGGGGTCCAACCTGGAATATCCAGGGGCCTATGGTGAAGTAGGGCAGAAAGACATCAATAATAACAAAAACAAACAAAAACACTTTCAAAATTGCTTCACTGACAACCCTGTGTGGAGCAAACAGTTGAATACTCAGCTGATAACTAATAAGTTGGCATGAGTCTACCCATAGGTACCTCGTAAGAAAGGACTGGTGATACATTTCAAAAAATCAGCCACTGAGGAACAATTAGTCCAATGAATCAGTGGATCACATGATCCTTAGACCAGAAGAACTAGATGGTGTTCAACTACTACTACCAAATGCTCAGAAAGACATCACATTAAAAGATTCTGGATACAGTGGGAGAACATGTGGAACAAAACTCATAGTCTTATAAAATACCAATCTTACTGGTTGGTCCGGCAGAGCCTGGTGGAAAACTATGGCCCTTGGCCACCCTTCAGGTCTGAAACTGAACTAACCCCAAAAACTCAATTTTCAGTCAAACAGTAGACAGGCCTATAAGAGAAACAATAACACTAGGGAGGTATACACTCCTTAATCAACCAGTTGAGATCAAAAGGGGCAGCATTTACTCAAGGGTAAAGTACAGGGTCGCTATGGGTCAAAACTGACTCAACAGCACTTAACAACAACAACAAAGTTCAGAAGGGTTAGAAAAGAAGGAGGAATGGAAACAAGAAACATAGAGAGGAGGTGAAATAAGTGAGGCTACATTGTGGGGACTACAATCAATGAGATGAAACAAAATGTGTATGAGTTGTTGAATGAAAAACAGATCTGCTCTGTACCCTGCACCTAATTCACAATAACAAGTTTTAAAAAAGGAAAAAATCAGCCACTGAGAACCCAGTAGAGCACAGTTCTACTCTGACACACATAGGGCCACCATGAATTGTAATCTACTCAATGGCAACTGGTTTGAGTAATTTTTGTTGTTGTTCATAAAATACTTCACAGTAAACCTTCCAAGAGCTAAAAGCATTCTTATTGTAAAGAAATCTGCCACTGGACCTAATGACACTTTTTCTTTCTGGCATTTGGACTTTCTCAGATGTTCCAGAATGTCTAAGTACCACCTGCTTGACTCTGTGGGGAGAGTACCTTAGGAAGCACGGCAATGAAATCTACCAACCTGTCTTCACTTGTCACGTTGACACAGACACCTCTAGGGTCTGGAGCAAGGTGGAATTGTCCAAGAGTGTGACTTTATTTCCCCATCTCCTCCTATTGTCTTCAAAGCCCATTACTTTCAACTAAAATACTCATCAGCAGGCAAATGGTTATACACACAATGAAATTCTAGACAGTTGTAAAGAGAAATGAAGTCTGATGCATGCCATAACATGGGTGGTCTTTGAAAACACCAAGTTGAGCAAAGTTGCAAAAAGAAAACCACTGTTTGATCTCACTTATGTAAAATAAGCAAATATATAGAAACCAAGGATTATTAGTCATCACCGGGTGGGAGAAGGGGGGAAGGAGAGTTTTAACTAAGGGAGCACTGATTTATGTTAATGGTGGTGGAATCATTTGGAAAGGAATAACAAGAATAGCTAGGTTGCTCAACATGAAGAATGTCATCAATGTCACTGAATTGTACACGTAGAAATCACTGAATTGGCAAATGTTGTGTTGTGTATATTTCCACAACAAAATAATGATACCAATTGTTTAAAACTACTCTGCCAGCCTCCCTGAAAGATCATGATGAAGGATATGCTTTGTGGAATCTCCCCAGAAACCAGCTTTCTTTCAAGAAGTGCCTGTCTCTGTGTGAATTTCTTGGCCCTCGTTCTCCTCTCAATGAACAAGCTAATGCTCAGGTCTTCTCACTATTTTACTGCCCTAGACCACTTCAAGCTTCTTCCCAGTCTCCTCTCCAATTGGGGGTCAGCCATCAGCTCTTGCCCTTGACCTAACTTCAAATTCTTTCCACATGAGAAACTCTATGATGCCACACAGTTTTATTAGTTATTTGCTAAAATATCAGTTCTTTTTCACTCTAATAGGCTAGGGAGGTGAACAGCCAGAGCTGCTCAATGATCAAATCAGAGTTAAAGTCCACAGCGTCCCAATTCTACTCCAGAGAATTGCTGCCTTGCGATATCATCTGGGGATATGGCAAGATACACTGCCAACTCTCTTTTGCTAAGCAACAAGTTCCAACTCAGGAACTGAGAAAACCTGCCCTCCATCTGGAAGCAAGCCTGCCAAAGTCCCCACCCAGGCCCCAGAAGGCAGAGCAGCTCTTAGCAACCCCTCTGGCCAAACAGAGGTCCCAGCCCAGCCTAGTCATCGCTATCCCACCTCATTCCCCCTTCGGACCTCACAATATAGAACAGCAAGCCCCCCCACATCTTCTCTGTCTGAGGACAGTCTTCCTTACAGTCAGGGGAGAAGGCAATTTCCTGTGTAGTGACTACTGAAATAAGAAGGATGTAGCCACATGGTAATGAAAACCAGCCAGGAATGTCTGTGAGGCACAGCACTTCTCACAAGCTAGGTGAGGGAAGATTCCATTGCACAGGTGCATCACTCAACCCAGTGCCCCAGTGAGCTGGGGAGGAGACTCAAGAGATGCAGACACCAGCAGGGGTGTTCCAGGCTGAGACAGACCTTCCACAGCTGAATTACACCAAGCAAGCTAGAGTCCAGGGATTTGGGGACAGAGAGAATTGTAGGCCCACAGAGGACAGACTAACTATGCAAGTGAGACGTAGAAAAGACGTCTTTTGCTACAGCCTTTGGTTTTCACTTGGTTGTGGATCATAATTGCCTGGGAACTGATTACAATGACAAATTCCAAGGCACCATCTCAGACTTACTGAATTAGAATCTTCTAGGGAGTAGGTATTGGCCAAGTGGCAGCATCAATGGACTCAAGCGTGGTAGCAGCAATGAGGTTGGCCCAGGATCGGGCAGTGTTTCATTCTGCTGTGCATAGGGTCGCTATGAGTTGATACCGACTCGATGGCTCCTAACAACAACAACAACAGGGAGCTGGTCATGGAGTCCTTGAGTAGTATAAACAGTTAATAAGGCTGGCTGTTTTTTGGAAAAGTTGGTAGCTTCAGTCCACCCAGAGGCATCTTGGAGGAATGGACTAGTGATCTATAGCCCCACAATCAGCCATTGAAAACCCCATGGAGCACAGTTCCGCACACAAGGCATCTTCATGAATGTCAGCTCTATGACGATCATTTCCTGGGCAGGAGGAAGGTATGCAGATTCATTGTTTGTGTTTCTTTGGTTTAGCTCCTTCATGATTTTGATGTTCAAACAGGATTGAGAAGCACTAGGCTATAGTTCAGATTCCTTTTAAAATAAGAACTCAGTCGTATGTCTCACTTTATGCTGCCAAAGTGATCATTACAGCCTCAATGTCCTCAAAGTAACCACTCTTTAGAAGGATAAAGCCTGTAGCTTCCTGAGAGTCTCGATAGCATAAGATTCGACAGCCACCCCTACTGCAAAGGCCCACTGAACAAGACTGTCCCCCACCTCCCCAGCATCTCCAGCAGCCAGAATAGCAATAGGCCAGGCCTGTCCCATCCCTCCACACCCTGAGGGACACTAGAAGTACAGATAAGAAACCTAGTGGCCACTCCACAGCTTGCCACAACATCCCATCAGGCAGGGCCCCTTCAGACCCACGTCTGTCTGGACTTGTACCTTTGACTCTTCTGGCCCTTAAGGGTCTGCAGTTCAGGAGCTATGGTGTAAGGTCTCATAAGCAATTACCCACGGAGAAGTGAACAAAGCTGTGTACAGACAAACAACCAGGTCTTGTGGGAAAGCAACAGACCATACCTCCCCTGAAAATCACTTAAGCTTAAGGAAATTTAAAGACCCATGTCCAAATTATAGAATCAGAGTCACAAATCCATGCACTAGTATAGACAGAGTGTTGGGATTTAGCATACACACCATTCAGTGCCAGAACATTTCAAGGATCCCCACTTTCACCCAGCACTGAATCGGGTACTGAGGAGATTCTCTCCCCTGTCAGAACAGTGCTGACCTAAAGGCCAAATAAACCCCATGGACTCTAGGGAACAGGGTCTGTCCTCACGTCCTGGCTCCGCATTGCCCAAGATGATGGCTTCTCCACCCTCAGCCTCAGTTTTCCAGCTTAGCAAATAGAGTAGCTCACGGAGAGTTACAGAGGTTCCATGGCGACAACCACCACAGGAATGAAGAAAGGCAAAAGAAGGGACTCAAGTTTCAAGTGGAAAGGAAACATAAGCTACAGTTGACCTTATAAAGAATGTCAGTCCCAAGGACAATATTCCAACCATCTCAGAGCCTTGCACAGCTGACAGGAAGGCAGCATTCACCTTTCTCCCAAGAGAGCTGGGCAGGGAATCTTGCTGTAGAGAACAGTCCACAGGCAGAAGGGTAAGGTAAGGGCTTCAAGGAGGGAGGAGCAGTCTAAGAAGAGAGGGGTAGTGAGAGAAGGGGGAGATGGGTCCACCATCCTGAGATCTAGCCTCACCACCAGGGGCTGCCATACCCAAAGCCTCTCTGATTTGGTAAAGAGAGGTAAAGGTCTAGAAGGTAAAGGTCTCCTTCTAGAGACCTCTGAAAGACAGGGTCCTCATTTCCTCAGAGGCATTTGGACCACTATGAAGACCTAGATAATTCTGTAAAGCACTGGATTTGTGCTAAGGTGTATACAGAAGGGGGTTCCAATTTGAAGGGAAAGATGAAAGAGTTTACAAACCCAAGTTTTGAACCCAAAAATATGTCCCTCACTGAAATATTCACTCTCTGAAGAGAGCCTCTGATCAAGGCACCTTTCTTGTCCCATACCTCACACTCCAAAATGTTCCTGAAGGCCCAGCTGGGAACATCTAGAACTTGGGCTTGGGAATCAGACACAGCTGGGTTGAAATCCTGCCCTTGCCCC